ACGATGGATACTCGACGGCGGGAAAGCTCGCTTTGGACTCTTTCCCAGACACGGCACCAATTTCAACACTTCCGAGGGAATTGACAAGGCAAAGTGTATGCTGCTCTGAATAGCATGATCGACAGGGAAGGGGAAATTGGAGAGAGGGGGGGAGAAGGGAAAGGGAATGGGAAGAGGTGAAGATGCAGCAACACGCAGCAGCCAGCAGCCAGCAGTAGTTGCTTGAGCAGCGGTAGCAGTAGCGTCGCGACAAGAGGGGTGCTTGAAGCCTGGTGGAGTTGTCGTCCGTCTCTGGATCGGGGAGCGGACAGGGGGGGGCGCGGCGCGAGGGGAGCAGGAAGACCGGCGGGATTAAGACCCAGGGGGGGCGCAAAAAGGAAGAGGATCCCGAGCGAAGGCAAGAAGCAGAAAAGCAAGTGAAGTGAACAAGAATAGAAGGAAACTAGAACAGTAAAAAGGGACAAAAGGAACAAAAAAAAGAGAAGAGGAAGGGGAAGAAGATGGAGATGGAGGGAAAGAGATGATGATGGGGGTGAAGAAGAGAGAGGGGATAGAGAGAAGGAGAGGAAGTGATGGCGGTGGTAGTGTGAAGTCGTAGCAATACGAATAGAATAAAAAAATAAATAATAATAATAATTATAATAATTTTGATAATGCTAGTTAGTAGACTACTACTAGATACAGCTAATGAGCCAGGTATTATTATTGCCTTCCTGCGAACGATGAACACCCACCCGACACTCTGACGGGGCCACCTACTATCTGCTAACTGCTAACTACTTCCTACTTCCTCTCTAGTGAACGAATTGACCGGGTTACCTCGTGTCGGGAGTCCGTAGCGAATGTCAAGTATGGAATTGAGGTTCCCACCTTAATTTGGGAGCAGAGAAACAGCAGGACGAGTAATTCCAAGGCGAGCCGCGAAAGGAACGGGCAACAAGCCCGTCACCAGCATTTGCTTTGCGTTGCTTTGCTGTGCTGGCTGGGGAAAGCAAAAAGCGGGTCAACGGGTCGGATCTCTTTGCCAGGAATAATCATCGCCGCCCCAATTTAAAATCATAAGCAACTTGCCAGAAGTTGAAGCGCAACATGGCAGTCGGGAAAAGAAAAGAAGACAACAGAAAAGCAGGTTAAATAATAGATGAATTCGAATCAAACACCGCCTGATCTTTACTTTGAAAACTACTTCTTTTCAAGAGATTTTCACATCTTAAACCTCACCTACAGTTTTTCATGAGAAACCTACATACCGAACTACATCACAGAGGAACAGCTGCATTTGGGCCTCGGAAATATTGGGGGGAGCGAGGGATGTGACTGGACCATGGACCTTGGATACGGACGGAGGAGTGGACTTGGGAAAACCCGACTCTAGAACGTTAGTGGGGATGACCGACTTCCCTGGCTACCTAATGTATCCATTATGGACGCATGTCCTCACGAGGTGACGAAATGCTCTTGTTTTTGTTTTTCCTTTTTCTTTTTCTTTTCCTTGTCCTGTTTTCTCTGTCTCTTTCCGTTTCCTTCCTGGATGCAAAATGGGGCAGAAAGAGGGCGCGATGGACGCCCGATCCAGATAACCACTAAAACAAGGGCCTGAACGTGGGTGTTGTCCCTTGCCTGGTTCGACCGGCCGTTGGGAATTTCCTTCTGAGTCTGGTCATTCGTCCGGATGGGCGATCGTGTACCTTAAGTAGTAGTTTTCGCTAGAACTGAAATGACTACTACTATCCACTTGCGGTACCGGTTTATGCATGCTTTTCTGGTTCGATACCACTATAATCATCCAAGCGGCCCTCGTATAGTTTAAGTCTTGCGCAGTGGTCAGTCAGTCAGCCAGTCAGTCAGGCTTTGAGGGAACCTGATCAGCCGACACCTCCCCTCCTCCTCCCAGCATCCAGCACAACAGCCCAGACCGACAGACCAGAGACAGAATAGACCAAAGACCGAGTGAGCATGAGAAGGCGCCAAGTCATCAGGGGCATCGAACCACTGTTTCAAGCCGGCACGAAAAAGTCGCTACTGGAGCCGCTGGGGCAGCCGATCGTCATTACGGCGACTAACCGGGCAGTCATCGTCTGCGCCCAACTGCTGATTGGTCGCCCGGAAGATTACCGTCCTGGACACCTCAGGTACCACCGGTCACGCCGCCCACTGGTACCTGCCTTAGGTACCACCGCCTAGCAGGGGACTTACAGTAGTCTGCTTTTTTTTATTATTATTTTTGATTGTTATTATGTCCTCTCAGAACTTGCTGGCTTCATGAACTCCCGATCGCTACCAAATCTAATTAACTCAACTAAACGAACTTAACACTGACACGTCAATGGTTGGTATCCGTCCCTGACCAAAAAAGGCCCCCATCCACAGCGCTTAATGAGCCTACGTGCTTCTCTTCTTCCTCGGGTTTGCCCCATCCTTGACCCTTGGATATCCTATCCACGGTAGGGATAACCGCCATCCCTGGAGTTGTCCTTCTGACCATGATCGGTAACCCAATTATGTCCCCATCAAGTCCGAGCTTATTTGATGCTGGGGGGAATTAAAATGAACCATTTATGAACATACCTCATTTATCCCTTGGATGATGGATCATCGTATTTCCTGATATCTTATCTACTTTCCTTTCCCCTTCTATCTACATGTTCGATGAGACTTCCATTCCTGAACCCCATCCTCCGCAACTCTACTTACTCCGCCCAGTCTTGATAGCTGCTGATACGACATGTCCAACCGCACTAACCGGATTCCCCATGAGTGCAGCATTTGACCAACTAGCGCCAGCTCTCATGCCATTGGACCAACCCCCTCATGCTAATGCTGTATCTATTTCCTACGTCTCCCGAGATGAAACCGACCTTGATCAGCTAGCTTCCTTAGCCTGCCAGCTAGGATGCACCTCATCCAGCTATTTAATTTAAAAGCTGACAGTCTAGTCGTCTTACCCGAGAGGGAGGGGAGGGGGCCGTCAAGCCAACCCCTCTAAAATAGAAACTCTCGACAGGGATGTTCCCAGGAAAGAGCAAAACAAACCACAAACAGGCCCATGCTCAATCAAGGAGACTCTTATTGATTACTTTCACCGGCCTGGGCAAGTTTGCAGTGTAACCCTCCGAGTGTACTTACTTAGTAACCGGATCTACTCCGCATGACGACCGACCAGTTCGTTACCCCAGCATCGCGCCGATGATAGTAGTAGTAGGATTCGGAGATTTCCCCCAATTACGTATGCGCTGTGAGCCTGTGACAACTATCTACTGCACAGTAGACTCTGGCTAACCAACTAACCGATCTAATTATAAAATTTGATTGCATCCCTTTCGATCCCCTTGTTTTCTGCTGGTTGTCAGGGAGATCTTGCCAGCCTTATCGATGTCTGCAACATAGACAATGCTTGTCTGAGAAATCAATTTCAGTTTGCGCCATGTTTACTTTCCCAAATTGGGTCTGATAGGCGTATATCCGGACATGGATGTCTGAAATAATCATAACACACACAAAACACCACACTATGATCTTTCCCTTTCTCAGGCTAGTCGCATGGAACATGTTCTGCATGACTGAAAACTAGTTGTCTCTATGACAGGGACCTGCGACATACTAATTTCCTCTGGTCAAATCTCCCCGGGAACGAGGCCCCTGGTAAATATATCGGTCCTTCTCGGAGGCACACACAGCGCGATCATTTAGTAGTTAATGAGGTGCATTATAGAGGGTCTTGCTGGGATGCCATTGGTCATCAAATCAATTACTCGTGCATTTCAAGGCGCATCTCCGAGCATGACCATATCAACTACTGAATAAATAGACGAAGCTATCCTACTCAATAATTTGAGATGCGGCGTTAGCGTCAACTATTCCCGGTTACTATATATACGGTCTTGTGCACAAGTCAGCCATTAATACACGATTTACGCACCGGTGGCTCACCCTCTCATTTAGACTGAGTACATACATATACCACTGCACAATGTATACAATAATTCTCTGCACATAGCCATGCACATAGTGCCCACGACATACCTGCACATGGATGCCACCAATCGAGCTACTGCGCTCGATACTACTTACTACTTATATACCCTCCTGTCCAAGGCATGGAAACACATCCTAAATAGCTAGATATAGTACATACCCATACACCTGAACACGACTCAAACAAAGCACACCCGGAACCCAACCCAGCCCAGTAGTCTTATGGAATTATCACTCCCACATACCCAGCAACCACTATTAGTACCATCCCATACCCACGTGAACAAGCTAGATGGAAATCCCTCCCATACCATAATACCAACATCAACAACCTCTATCCATCTATCTACTCCGTTCCGTACCCAAAAAGTAGATTATCCACAGAGTACTCCGTATATATAAGATATCCATCCACATCCGTCAACAGACCCACCCACGACCCACAACAACCACACAATAACTCCAGTTCCCACAACAAAAAGTCCCTAGGAGTAAAAAAAGAAGAAGAAAACAAAAAGATATCGACAACAGTCGGATTTGAACCGACGCCTCCGAAGAGAATAGATTTCTAGTCTATCGCCTTAGACCGCTCGGCCATATTGTCTTATTGATATTTGGGGGTCATTCTTTGACTATATGAGGGGGAGGACGCCCTGGGGAGGGGGTGTGGGTGGGCAATTGGTGAGGTATTGGGGTTTTTATTTATGTTGTGTATGGGATTATGTTGGTTGGTGTAGTGGGGTTTGATTTCTGTTTGGTGGTATTGAAGTAGTAGTGGGTTTTGTTCGTAGCAACTAATACTACGGGGTAAGTTGGTGAGATGGTAGTACCAGTTCATTGATATATATACTGTTGATGTTAGCGGGGTGTGGATGTCCCTGGGCAATACCAGTGCATTGTAGTCTCGGTATATGCTAGTATTGGACGTGATGATAGGTATTGGTGCGAGAACGAGGAGCAGGATGTCAACTGGCAATTGGACTGGATTCAAGGTAGTGGCGTGGACACATTCTTACCATACGCCTCACGTTTGGTTGTGCTGGAACCGGTGCACATGCCCTGGGGTAATGTGGCCTACAGCATACTACGTATTAGATAGGATAAATCCAACCTCGGTGATGGGTATCGAAGATCAATATTCACAACCGGTCCGGAGATAGAGCTGGTCCTAAGACTGCTAAAGAGTGCTAGCTCTAGCCTAGTATATGGCACAAGAGCAAATGCCACCGCCGTTTTCGTCACATAGATGTACCAGCGTATATCAGGCCACACCATATCTCCATGTATCCATATAAACAGGGCACATATCGTAAAAACACTGAAAAAGAGTGCATAAAACGGACGACACGCGGGAAATCACCAACCCAGTGCATCAAGGTCATAAATCATACATTAAACAGAGTACAGCAGACCAGATTGAAATAGAAGATCAAACTGAAGAGCATCCACGTCAACGCTTACCCCCCGACATTGACATACCGCTCAACGAGGTAGTGCCTGGCGCACCGTATGCAGGTGGAGGGGTCGAGCTGGGAGACTGACGTCTCACAACTGGCTCACGGCCACCATATGCCTGGCTTGGGCCCGCCGCTGCAGGAACATCTCCGCCGTCGCCCGTTCCAACGAGGACCTGCTGCCCATTGCGCATACGGCCGACGACCATACCCCTCGCAACGGACTTCAGCACAGCCTTGCGGCTAACACCCGCGGCGTCAATATACACCAAACCGACATTCTTGACTCCGCCAGTGAGGTCGGAGGCTACGGAGCCCGCCTGCTCGCCATAGCGGTGTCCAATCATGGTGCTAGCTGCATTGGAGCCGGTGATCAATACGTTGCGAGCACCCTGCTCGATGCCGTCCGTCAAAGTCGAGAACGCAATCATCGACTTGTTCAGGATGCCCGGCCTGTAGTCGCTCCCGGACCTATCGACGCCCCTCTGCGTACCGTTGTCCCTGCGACGGGCCAGGGAGGCACCGATATTCTGGGCATATTTACCCACCTGACCAACCGTCTTTGCGGACAGCTCGGCAGCACCCTGCGAGAATGTCCCGACTTTTCGGATCCGAGAATGTGTGGTGTCAGAGAAGGTCATCGGTTTAGGGTTGGGCTTGGTCTTCTTGGTGAAAGCTTCTGCGCCGCTTGTGATAGCGTTGGCAAGATAGGAAGATCCGGTGACGATCAAGCGAGAGGCAGTCGCAGAGGTTTGAACGATTGTCGAGTCCTTATAGACCGGATGACGAGCCATCCGCAGGTATTCTTCGGAGACATTACTGACGTTGACTTGGTTACTCTCGGCCTCGGTAGGAAGTTCGATTTCCACAGGTCCTATCAAGGCAAATGTTAGCAGATTCGTGGATTAGCAATGACAGAAAACGTACGTTTTGAGCCAGGTTTGACACCAGGTTCCTCAACCACATCATACCCTTCCATTTCACCAACCACGCTGCCATCTTCCTCATCCACCAGAACAATCCGGCCATGGGCGTCATCCTGGGCGAATCCTGACGGGGCAACATACCCTTCGCCTGGCGCGTAAGTTGCGGGATTATACGGTGCATGATTGCTCGGCGGGGGAGCGCGTTCGAGGAACGCCGTGCATTGAGCTAAGATAGTCTCAAAGGTATCGATATCATCCTGTGTGACCTTACCCGGACCTGAGCCAATGCCCGGAAACTGGATACGAATGAATGCGCCGGCATCAGGGCCCACATCCCAGCGAGGGATCAAGTAGCTGTCTGGAGACTGGTGGAAGATCTGAGTGGTAGCAGGAAGCGCCAGGTCTAGTTCCGGTGGCAAGTGCAGGTGAAGGTAAAAGTCTTCCTCTGCAGACGTATCAGGGGGAGGCGTCGAGGGGGAGGTGCCAGGCACGGTCGTTCTAGTGGGGACCATCAGAAGAGAGAGGGTCTGAGGACCAGACGGGGTCAACTCTGTCTCTTCGCCATTTTGGATGTGAAAAGCACGGATGTTGCTGATGCTATAAAGTAGCCTTGGATCATGAACGGTGGAAGCCATGACTGAAATGCCTTGAAGATGGACAGTAAACAGTTTCAGCTCGAAGACCCTGTAGGTACCAAGTGGAGGACTTTGCGGGGGGGGAGCTGATAACACGGCACAGCCGCTTGGCGGGGGGGAGATTGCAAGATGAGAGACAGTGTGCTGTCCACAGCAACCAAGTGAATTATGAGAGTTAGTAAAAGGAGAAGAGAAGGAGAAGAGATGCGACAGCAGCACCGGGGAACAGGCAATAAATACTTGCCCGAACCCCGGGCAGGCCGACGAGCGTCGAAACAACCATGAATGAATGGATGGCGGCCAAGAGGGGAGTGACATAATCGCCCCCGTCCGCTCTTGGCAGTGCTGCGCCACACCTCATCACATCACACCTGCACCGCCACATATATGCACGGCGGTGCGTGAGTGGTCCGTCCTGTCTCAATAATAGAACAGCCTCGCAGCCAGCGGCAAAATTCAACCCCCCCATTCCCTCCTGGAAAGGCCCTGGCTGAGTGGAGGTGGCTATCTTTCCCCTCTTTTGACAAGCCAGTCAGTGCACACCCTGACATTTTCCAGTGGCTGCAGGGTTCTTGTTGGAGCCAAGGGCGCTTAAAGTGCTGAACAATCGGGATCGAGGGATAGACTAGGGGAGGTCAAGCCCCTCACTAAGAATGGCACGGTTCCAGATCGTCTCCGACCTGCATCTAGAAAACCCCAAGGCATACGACTTGTTCGAGATTGCACCAAAAGCACCTTATCTAGCGCTCCTGGGAGATATCGGAAATGTCAGGGACGATGGCTTCCTCTTGTTCATAGAAGATCAGCTCCGCAAGTTTGAGATTGTTTTTCTTGTGATGGGAAACCACGAGCCCTTTCATTCTAGTTGGTTGGACGTGAGGGAAAAGCTGAAGCAGTTTTCCGACGATATAACACGCAAAAGAGCGCAAGTACAATTCACCAAGCCCGGGTCTCACAAGCTAGGGAAGTTTGTCCTTCTCGACCAAACTCGATATGATCTGGCACCAGATCTTACGGTCCTGGGGTGTACATTCACTCCAAGGTCAGCGAGATGCAAGAGGAACGGGTTAGCTTCAGCTTAAATGATTTTTACTACATCAAGAACTGGTCGGTCGAGGATCACTGCGCTGCTCACGAAGCTGACCGAGCTTGGCTCAACGATCAGGTCACTCGAATCGCCAGGTCCAACCCCCATCATAAAATTGTGATTTTCACCCACCACAGTCCGACTGTTGCATCTAAGGCGGTGGATCCCGCGCACGCGAAGAGTCCTATATCATCGGCGTTCGCGACGGATCTCGCCGGGGAGGCGTGCTGGGAGAAACCCCAGGTGCGACTTTGGGGGTTTGGCCATACGCATTACAACTGTGACTTTACAGACAGTCGAACGGGAAAGCGCATTGTGGCGAACCAGCGAGGCTATTACTTCTCTCAGGCGAAGGTCTTTGAGCCGGAAAAGGTGATAAGCATTTGATAGAGCGGGAATGGCATGTGAAGGAAGGGTTGGGAGTTCATGTCTCGGGTTATAGATAGGCGCACTGGAACCTAATCTGACAGAAACAAGCGGATAGTGACATTGATAGAATGACATCTAATTAATCTGGGATTTATTTCAGTGGACAGGACCTGTAGATATGCCCCAGCTGGTGGCTAATTGCGGAGAGATGGAGCTGGAGCCGGAGCTGGAGAAACGGGGAGACGGCTGATCGACGGCCCTCGGCCGCGTTTAACCGAGGCCCGTCTGCGCTTCTCACTCGTGATCTCTCCCCGTCACCACCTGCTTTCCTCCTTCTCACTTCCTCTTCCCCCTGCGCGTCTTTGCCGTGGCCTCGAGTTACACACTATCCAGCTAATCCAGTTAATTACCATCTCGCTATGGCGTCTATCACCCGTGCGTTGCGGCCTTTGTCGCGCACTGCTACCTCCGCCCGCCTTATCACAAGACCGCCGTTGTCGACCAGGCTAGCTGTGAGGTGAGTTCCAGGCCGTGATCCCCCCATTCCTACGTCAACAGGACAAGAACCATAGCGCTATTATTCACAATCATGGCCGTTACCTATCGCTAACACTCCCCTCCAGCAGCACCCATGCGTTCTCCACCACCTCCCGCCGGCGGGATGTCGATCTGTCCGGACTGACGCCCACCCCGATCACCTTCCTCTCCGAAACAGAGGCCCTCATGTCCGAATCCGTTTCCAAGTTTGCTCAGGAGCAAATATCCCCGAAAGTCAGAGACATGGATGAAGCGGAGACCATGGACCCTGCCGTGGTCGAGCAACTCTTCGAACAAGGACTGATGGGCGTCGAGATCCCGGAGGAATACGGCGGTGCGGGGATGAACTTCACGGCGGCGATTGTGGCGATTGAGGAGCTGGCTCGCGTCGACCCCAGTGTCAGTGTTCTCGTAGACGTCCACAACACCCTGGTCAACACCTCCATCATGAAGTACGGTGACGCGCAGGCGAAATGCACATGGCTACCCAAGCTGGCTACTGGCACCGTCGGCTCGTTCTGTCTGTCGGAGCCGGCCTCCGGATCAGACGCGTTCGCCCTGAAGACCAAAGCCGAGAAGACGGCCGATGGGTATAAGATCAACGGATCGAAGATGTGGATTACCAATGCCATGGAATCTGGCGTGTTCCTTGTCTTTGCCAATCTTGACCCCAGCAAGGGCTACAAGGGTATCACCGCCTTCATTGTGGAGAAGGATACCCCGGGATTCTCCATTGCGAAGAAGGAAAAGAAGCTGGGCATCCGGGCCAGCAGCACCTGCGTGCTCAACTTCGACGACGTCCTGATCCCCAAGAGCAACCTGCTTGGCGAAGAAGGCCAGGGATACAAGTATGCCATTAGCATTCTCAACGAGGGACGAATTGGAATTGCTGCCCAGATGACCGGGTTGGCCCTCGGCGCCTGGGAGAATGCTGCACAGTAAGCAACCCCCAACACCACCTCTCCCATATCTCCGCGGAACTCGGTATCACCGCGGTGACCCCAAGCAGTCATTCCATGGCCGACGTGTCCATTTGCTAACGTGTCTCACAGATACATCTGGAACGACCGACGCCAATTCGGCCAACTGATCGGCGAGTTCCAGGGCATGCAGCACCAAGTGGCACAGGCGTACACTGAGATCGCAGCCGCCCGCGCGCTGGTATACAACGCGGCCCGCAAGAAGGAAGCGGGACAAGACTTCGTCCAAGATGCCGCAATGGCGAAGCTGTATGCCTCGCAAGTTGCTGGCCGCGTGGCTGGCTCCGCAGTGGAGTGGATGGGAGGCATGGGCTTCGTGCGTGAAGGCATCGCCGAGAAGATGTTCAGGGATAGCAAGATCGGCGCCATCTACGAGGGAACCAGCAACATTCAGCTGCAGACGATTGCCAAGTTGCTACAGAAGCAGTATACTCGCTAAGTGAAGCAATACCTTTCTTTCTTTCTTTTTTTTCTCCACTTGTTCCCTGTTATCATCCGTTATCCGTTCTATGGTTCCGCTTCATAGATTGAGATCCGATTCATCGTAGATTACATACACATGCCATACTATACCATACTATACTATACTACTTTATCCTTCTCTTATGCCACTTTATGTATCCTTATGACTCAGATCCATCACAAGCCGAAGAAGGGAACGGAGCCAACGAACCTCGTGTCGATCTAGCCGACAAACTCAAATCCCAAACCATGGCACTGGAACCGATTACATCTCTACCATACATTCTCCTCTCACCCTTATATCCGACATCCGAACATGCATCTTTGATGTTAGTTAGTGGTACGTACCCACCACTGACAAAGCACATACATACAACATAACATACATACATACAATACATACATACATAGTATCATACCCAATAATAAAGATCCGTCTCTTTACCGCTCCTCACATGCGCCGGGAACTACATCCATTCGCACATTATTGGCCGGGTCGGCACACAATCCAAAAAAAACCTTAGGCAATACTAGGTAGGCATCATCTATAAACTTCCATGAGTGGGACCCTTACTAGAAGTAGTAGTAGTATTTAGTACTTTCTACCGGCCGAGTGATGAGCCCTGCTGTCCAAGTAACACAAACCGAACTTACTTTGTACTGAGTGGTAAGTAGTATCCCGCACAGCAAACAAATCGTAACTACTTACTCTATGGAATTGTATTGCAACCCATAAGATAATGATTAAACGCCGATATCCCCGCGCCCTTTCCCCGACAACCTACCACCTAACCTAAGACTAACTACTATCTACTTTATATATTTAAGATTAATAAGAAGCTGCAGCCTAGACAAGGCTGGGCTAAACTAGCAGGAAACCCAAAGTTAACAAAGTCACTAAGTACAGTACTAGCAGTAAAAAAAAAAAAAAAAGGTAGTACTGTAGAAAACGTTATCCGACTGATCCGACCGAAAGTATAACCATAAAGGGTAGTAGTAATATACTCTGTACCGAGATATGCCTGCATTAGCCTTTATAGAACATATCACTAATCACGCCAAATGCCAAGGCCAAGCCAAGCCAAGAAATTGCATCAAAGAAAAATTTGGAGGTTCGGTTAGAAGTGACTGAACAAACCTTCTTGAATGACAGAATGGTTTGAAAGGTAGGTAACTGGGGAGTGGTTCCGATCGGAAGCTTACATAAATAGAGGTAAGAGGGGGAAGAGAGAGAGAGAGCGGGTTTCGTTTCGGGAGTTATTCTGGTTCCGATCTCCCCTCCCCGGTTTGATCCTCTTTTTTTTTTTTCTTCTGGGTTCTAGATAGATAGTAGACTAGAGGTCGAATCCATCGTCTTGGATTAAACGCTTACCTCTGCCGAGCTCGAATCACGTTTGAAGGGTAGGTGGATGCTGGGGTTGGGCTCTTTTGTCTACTTCGAGTAAAGTATGGGCCTTGTAAAGAGAAAGAAATCCGGTAGACGAGCCGGTGGGCGGGCCGGCCGACTGGGGAAAAAATGGAATAGAAATGGGTTTGGGACGGTTTTGCTAATCGGATGGAATTGTGGTACTGAGATGTTTCTGGAAAAAGTGAAAAATTTACAACATAGATTCCAGGAAAAGGAAAAGCGGGAGTATACACTGGGTCGTTCTGGGCCCCTGATGATGTTCACGATGATGAAGTTGATGATATTGTGGTTTTCTGGTTGAATCTGAAACCGACCATGTGGATTCGGAGCAGCTCGGTTATCGAGTTTCTTTCTTTCTCTCTCTCTCTCTCTCTCCCCCTCTATCTACTGTTAACTAATCCGTCTACCAATGATTCATGTAATCCGATTCCCCTGCATTCTATTCCCCTCTCTGTATCCAAGCGAAATCATGAAGAAAACGTGGAGTTGCCGTTCCATCATCTCCCGCCGGCAAATCTCGTCGTATTCGCGGGCCGAAAAATCACGGATTTGTTTGTATGGGGCGGGTCGTCGGGAAGAGCTGGAGCTGGGACTGAACGGGTCAGATCTGCCCTGTTCCACGATACGGTGTGGTGACCGCCAGTGCCACTGAGATATCCGGACCCCTGGGATTTTTTTTTTTTTCTTTGCTGGACGCCTGGCAAAGGCAAGCCAATTCCCGGATCCAATGAAGCCCCTTCATCACAAGTTATGTAGACAATTTGGAGATAGCCCTGTGCTATATGACCAGTCCGTAAGTGTGTGTGTTGTTTGCGTAGTTGCACGCAACAGTGTTTTGCATCCCGGATACCAGGTCCTCCCCGTGCGTTGAGTCGGAGAGTATTGATCGTAATCATCATATGATCGCTTGCTGAACCATTCAGGCAACAACCGCGATTGCCTTGGCCTCATGCAAGAATCTCTTTTCTTTCGTGAGAGCCCCACGTGCTTGTCCATCGTCTCACGACTGATGCGGGTTCCAGGCATAGCCGTAGTCATTCCGTGTTTGAGGTGGAAGCGTATGTTGATGATACTGTTGTGGCGCATGTACGAGAGGATATCCTGCCGGTCTCTCTGTTGGTATTGTTGGCACTGACATCGGCCTCTGTCCAGGTACGTAAGGTACTGGCTGTGGAGGATGGGATGCTAGGTCATCTACCGGTCCACGAGGAGCGTTTCCGGTGTGATATGCCTGTGCATACGATTGAAATGTCGGGTCTGGTTGAGCACCGACAGGCGCACTGTAGCTGACCTGCGGCGGCGCGACGGACATTGCGCTCGTAGGCTGAAGTTGATTTTCGAACAAGTACGATTCGGCCCGGTTTCCATAATTCGTCTCGCTCGATTCGCATGTTGAAGGTGACCGGTTGGTGCCATAGGGAGGCCATTCCGACCCAACCGAGACACGACTGGACGTGGAGAGGACCGACGGGGCCCTGGAAGCTGGATTCATCCCCAAAGGCTCTGCAAACTGCGTGGCCGGGACCATAGACCCAGGTGCATTGCTATACGTTCCTTCTGTTGATGCGCAACAATTGATCGGTCAGCCATTCCAAGTTCTTTCCGTAGCCGCAATAAAACGAACAAGACCGGCCACCTACCCATACCCGGATATCCTTGTCTGCTAGCCAGGGCGAGCTGATGCTTCAGAGCTCGGATCTCATGTTCTAACGCCACATTCCGTCGGACGACATCGTCAAATTGTTCCCCCTTGGCTTTCAACTCAGCCACTTGGTGCTCCAGCCGTTCAATATGCTCCTTGGTCCGTTGACGAATGGTTCTTTGGGCTTCCCGATCGTTGGCGCGCTTCCTCTCCAGCTGTTCGGCAGAGAGCGACGTCACTTTACGCGCCCCAGCACGGGACTCGCGCTTTTTGGTTGTCGGGGGTTCAGGAGTAGGGCTCATCCTGCACATCAAATTGTATTCAGGTGGGTGATGATGATGTGAGTAGGAGAGCAGAAGAGTGTTTGTTGCAGGTGATAGGTGCGACCCGTATAGGCAACGTGATGCATCCCAGCCAGGTGTGTGGACCGCCAGAGGTACTTGATCCCGCCTCTCAAGATGCGACTATAGCGGTTCCAAGTGCGTGGGTCGCGCTAAACCAGGTATATATATACCCAAGGGGACGGACAGAGGCCGTCTGATAGGAACAAGGTGGGCGGGTAGATACGTAGGTAGACCGTAGTTACTTACTTTTAGTAGGGGTCGGTGGTGGAAGAATAATAATCTTTGTTGAGCGTTTGAACGAAAAAAGAATCAGGGAACTGCCCGTTTTGGGCATGGCTGCTAGGACCCATTCCAGGTCAGACAGACTCTGACTGGTGCAGGCAATAATTAGGCACGTATGGCCTGGGAGGATCTAGTCCTGGCTTGGTCTCCAGATCGTCCCTGTCTCTCCCTCAGACAGCTTGGAGTCTCCAGCTCCCCAACTTCCTTAGTTATCAGCAGTACAACCCAGTAAGGAAGTAATACACCGTACACCTTCGTTACCAACCGTTGGCTTGGGGCCCGAAGACGCACCAATAAGCAGATCCCTCGAGCAGCCCAATCCTATGAAGGAAGGGGGGAGGGGGAGGGAGGGGACACACACACACACACACGGCTTTTGGTGCAGTGCTTTTCTTCAGGTAGCTCTTACGATGGGTCAGCGGCGCAGCGCTATGAGCACCTTCCGACCCTCCCGACCTACAAGCACGCTCTAATTCGCAACTTTGGGGGGGTCCCCCTCAGCACCCTAGACGGGTTGGCCTGGTTGCGTGGCGGTAGCGTACACCAGTCAAGTACCGAAGCTGTTTATGCCGGGTACCCCGAAGAGGCAGAAACAGATGGTCAACGTTGTTGCTGTCCCTCTCCTGTCCTAGAGCATGTCCAGCACGGTATCTGCATCTGAAGGAGCATCTCTTGTACGGCATTTAGTAGTAGTATTGACCATCCGGTGGATCTTAGTCCTTCCGGGCCACATGGCAGACCCGATTCAGTAGCGGGTTCATTATTTTATTAAGCGAACGAACAGAAGAAAAAAAAGAAAGGAAAAAAAAAAGCCACTAGAAAAAGCAAACCCCAAAAAGAAAAAGTGGGAATAGAGAGGGCAAGGAAAAAAAAAAAAGACAAGGTTAACCGAAGACGAAATCCATGGGCGACCGATGCCGCCCTGGGGCACATACAGAAGCTCCTGGGGTTCGTTCAACCTCAGGAGAAAGTAATCCTTGGCACCATGCCGGGGCATAAGCCCAAAGCAGCATTCAGGTTGAGGGGAAGCCGACTGACCGACAGTCAGAAACTGGCAGTTGGAGGGCCGCTGCAGTGCCAGGCGGGACGGGAGAATACCGAGAGCGACCAACTTTGTCCATAAGGGTTAGAGCGGAGCTGACCAGAGGAGTGGGTTTTGGCTGTCCAGACTACCGACAAAGTACGACGGTGGCTGACCACCATTTTCCCAGCGATCTGCGGGCTTTGCTTTGGTATGCACGATCCCCAGCGGTTCCAGGTTCCCGAATCTCAGATTTCAGGATCTGCTAGGCTATCAGATGTGAACACTGAACAGGACAGGACAGTCACTCCTGACCCCATAAGTGTCTCTGTTTGAATGCTCACCCATGGTTGCGTAGATGACGTCTTGCCGTCTGTTCGTACCAGCGATTGCAGACAACCTCCTCGATTTACCCAAATAGGTTGTTGAAATGGAGGTTCCTACCGGACTCCTTAAGGGCGGAGCCTTGGTAAGGGAGTAAATAATGGGCAGTCAGCCCCCTTTGGGCTCAGTCGGAACCATGGTAGCACTGGGGTTGTGCTCGCCACGAGGAGAAGTAGATCGGGTCCACACTTCAGGTCCTCCATCAAAACCAACTACGATTTGCTGCGCCAAGCGGAAGTTTGGTCCAGAAAAGCCCTTCTGAGTAATCAGAACCAATGGAATCCCGGAGGGAACTCGTGTCTTGAGACGCCCGGCGACAGAAGCCCCGTAGAACATCGAAACCGAAGGTTCCCAAATTCCTTAATCAGAGTCAATCACCACGGGAGGGATGGAGTAGGCAATATGCCCGAATCTAAACGGCAAAAACCGACGGGAGGGGAGGGAAAAGGGAGCACCACCATGAGAGAAGGCTTTGGAAGAGAAGGCTGGCTGAACGTGGATGCATGACGCACATTGTGCCTGCCTTCTCAGGTTAGTCGGTTTTCTTCCTAAAGGTTCAAATGGAGTCTGGATCCCACTTCTTTTTGTTTTGTTTTATTTTTTTTTTACTCCCTCGCTTTTGCAACCCTTCCCTTTTTTTGCTTTTCCTGTTGCTCAGCCTCATTCCCTTGAGACTTGGCTTTGCAGGGATGAGCGACCTGAGGCTCATATCTTATTGGCATCGATACAATGTCCCAGCTTACCCCAATTCCAGGGCAAAAGACAGGACAGAATAGTTTATGCCCTGGAGCTGGTTCGTGGCGTCAATGTACCCCGGACACGGAAGACCAACATACCGGTCGTCGGCCGAATGGCCCTAAAAAATAATCTCCTAAGGTAAAGCCGTGCTAAAGCCGGTCGGTGGGCCTGATAGCTGCATATCATTGTCCCAAGCTGCATCCGCACGGGAGACAGCCGTGTACTTTACTGAAACTCACTGGTGATCATTCCCTTCCGATTGATTGGTTTGCGGTGGGTGCATCCCATGGGTGGTTATTAATTTTTTTCTTCCTTCCTTTTTTCTTTGTTTTAGTCCGCTCGTCGTTCATGTCAAGCCAAGCACTATAACTTAGCATTATGTGTAAGCGGCACAGCAGATCTGGTGAGCTAACCCAGGACTGACCCAACCCGTCCTTAGCCCGAAACAACGACGCATAGCCTAAAGCAGTTTCCTGCGTAGTAGATAGTCCTACCAAGGGGACACGGAGAACCTCCGTTCCCCCCGGGGCTCACCTCTGCATCCCTGCTCCAGTAGAAGTATAGTATAAGCATCTAGTGGCATGGTAGTAGTTAGTTAGTGCCCCCATCATCTTTAGCAAGCTCCGTGGATGAAACCCGGTACGCCCCCTTGCTAGTATCTGGTTGGCCCCCAGAGAATGTAGATCGGAGATATTGTGGAGGCTCCAGCAATGGCAGCCTGGCAGGTGGTAATCAATTGCCAGTGAAAAACTCGCACGCCGCAGTCATGATCGGTCTGTCGCACATAAGCACGATAATTCAATGCAGCTCTTGGCAGATCTTTGGTTTGTCTGCTGTTAGCTATCTTTCGTCTTATTGCATTCCCAGCATGGGATTCGTCACAACAGACCCTACGAATGCAGGTTAAACGGCGGATTTTCTTTTTCTGTCTCTGTGTCTTAGACTCTCGAGCGCTAAGGAAGTTGAGCTTCTTTCAGTATGGCACCATAAGCAACGTAATTAAGATGAACAGTGAGATGGGGAACGGTGGATGCATGGTTAGTCACCACTTTGCCTGAGCCAGAGACACGGTGATTGATAAGTCGGAAATACAGTTCCCAGGCAGGAAAGATGGCAGAGGATGATTTGCTGAGAAGGAGGGAAAGAAGACCATGGAAAAGGTGGGAACTCGACGAGACCGACAGGCAGAAAAGCAAGAGAGAAAACGAGATTCAGATTTTGGACTGTTTGAATCAAAAGGCGGGGGATGTATGGATGTGTAACCGGATTACCATACTTGGTATTCCTCTTTCCAGGCACACAGCCACCCCGTATGGGTCTAGTCTCAATAAGGGAAGTTGTTGGCCTGAGGTGCTCCAGACTAAATGCGGCCAGATTGTTTTTGTTCGCGCGTCATCGCAGCTGTGCTTGTTTGCCTTCCTTGACTTGACTGACTTGGTGACTTGCTGCTTCCTACCTTGCGCCGGCCACGTCTCACTGTCGGTGGATAGGGCTTCTAATGCAAGATTAACTCCAATCTATCTGCAACGTTGCACACATTTGATCGTTTTCCCTTTCCTTCCTACCCCTCCTCTCCTGGTCTCTTGCCTCTTTGGACTTCTAGTCCAAACGGGTCGCAGCTAATGGATCCCAGCTACAAGGCCCGCAAAGAGGCCTTTGTGTCTGATCTTGCTGGTGGCAGCATACTGGAGATCAATGCTGTCACATTAGTTGCACCTGTACGTTTCTCGTCCCCTTGACAGCTGTTCAATTTCACAAGTCCAGAGCCCATGGGCCTGGGATACGTCACACCTCCCCCTCCCCTCCAGGCAGTGTTATCTGACTCTTTACGGGATTGGTCTAGGCCGCTGCTCTTTTATGGTCAGCGCTACAATCACGCCTTTCCTTCTTCACTCCTTACAGCGCAGCAGCACTGGTGACCGACTTTCTGCTCAATGTACTGGCCATTCTCTTTGCCACGACTGTCTACTCCTCTGCGCCATGGACGCTGAACGTCCTGCTGATCGCCCCCGCCCTCCTGCTGTTCCTCAACTCGAAACCTCCCCGCAGCCAGCAGAAGGCTAAACCTCCACCGAAGCCGACTCAGAGCGATAGGAATGCAGCGGACATGCCCGAATCCTTACCAATTCACCCATTTCTGACGACATATCGTGCAGCCATGATGATCATTACCTGTGTCGCTATCTTGGCGGTGGACTTCCAGGCGTTTCCACGGCGGTTTGCAAAGGTGGAAAATTGGGGCACCTCACTCATGGATCTGGGTGTGGGATCCTTCGTCTTCTCAGGCGGGGTAGTATCTGCTCGCTCTGTGCTTAAGGGCCGCAGCAGTGGCGCCCGGAAGACTCCCGTAGGCCAGCGGCTGATCGCTTCCACGCGGCACTCGGTCCCTCTGCTTGTCTTGGGTTTGGTGAGACTGTACAGTGTAAAGGGGTTGGACTATGCGGAGCATGTAACGGAGTATGGCGTGCATTGGAACTTCTTTTTCACCCTTGGTCTTTTGCCACCCTTTGTGGAGCTCTTTGATAGCCTGGCTGCCATTATTCCGTCCTACGAAGCCCTTTCGCTGGCAGTTGCTGTGTTGTATCAGGCCGCTCTGGAATCGACCGAGCTGAAGAGCTATATCCTTGTTTCCCCTCGCGGACCAAGTTTGCTCTCCAAAAACCGGGAAGGTGTTTTCTCGTTCCTGGGATACTTTGCGATTTTCCTGGCAGGCCGTGCCACTGGCATACGGATCATTCCTCGCGGCACCACTACCCAACGGTCCCCCCAGCAGGCGAGAAGAGGCGTGCTGGTGACCCTGGGTGTCCAAGCGCTCGCATGGTCTACGATCTTCCTCCTAAACTCTACCTACGCATTAGGCTACGGTGCCAACATTCCGGTCTCGCGCCGCCTTGCTAACATGCCGTACGTTGTTTGGGTATCTGCCTTTAACAATGCTCAGCTGTTCCTTTTCTGTCTCCTGGAGACAGCCTTCTTCCCATCGGTGCATCGGGCGTCGGGGAAAGACGGCGAGGCCGACCGGGTGTCTTTTGCGACAAGCCGGATTCTGAAGGCATTCAATCGTGGTGGACTGGCTATCTTCCTGGTGGCTAATCTGCTTACGGGGGCTGTCAACCTGAGCGTCCCGACACTGGATGTCAGTACGGCCCAGGCGATGGCAATTCTTATCGGATATGCCGCGGCTCTCACAGGCATAGCACTGGGTTTGGATCGGGCGAACATCAAGTTGGCAATTTGAAGAAGTGCGAAGACATCCCACCCCTCTCCAAAGAGACGTGAGGAATAATCAAATATAATAAAGAACAATTGTGTACATAGACAAGTGGCCATCTACTTACTTCTGGTCGAGATGCGGACCGAAATCCGGGGTTCCAGTAGATTAGCAGCTGTTTGGGTTAAGGAGCTTAGCTTGACGGGCTGGCCGGCTTGGCGATGATTCTTGAGGAACAAGAAAGACTGCTTGCTTCTTTCTCTCTCTCCTCGACTGTCACCGGCCACTCCTGATCGCAACATGGACGAGAAGCCTCAGTTCTTCCAGTATCCAGAGGCCCGACCGGGTCCCGCTGTGCCGTACAAGAACGAGGAGCAGGTGATCCCCGTCATCCGTGGCTTTCCCTTGGCCCTCGGCGCCACTCTGTAAGTCCTCCTGTCTGACGTCCTGCACTTCACTCTTCTTCTCTCCCGGCTGCAGCTGCCTAATTACCATCCTCTATAGTGTTCAAAATATCGGCTTTATCCAGAGCCATCTCTGGGGGACCACTGGCTTCGATGTCATCCGCAACCTCCCTCTCGACCAATACTCCGCCCGCTATGATCCGACCGTGATCCCCGTAGCCAGACCTGATGCTTCGGCTGCCGACTTGCCAGTTCCCACGCAAAAGCGACAAAGCAATGCAGGATACTACACTTCTGCCGACTATGTCGCTCGCTACACTTCGGGCGAGCTGACTCCCCTTGCCGTCGTCGAGACCCTGCTCCCTCTGATCCGCCGCGATGCCAAACCACCCGGCAAGCACTCGATCGCCTTTCTAGAATCGCAAGTCGACAAGATTCGCGCCGCAGCAGAGGCTTCTACACAGAGATACAAAGATGGCAAACCACTGGGTCCAATGGATGGCATCCCCGTCGCAATTAAGGATGAAGTGCACATGGAAGGATACCGACGAACCCTGGGCAGCAAACTCGACTTTACCGGCGAATTTGGAGGCACCTCTTGGTGTGTGAAGCAATGGGAAGAAGCCGGTGCCATTGTCATTGGCAAAACCATCATGCACGAGTTGGGTCTAGGTGAGTAGTGCAACTCTCAACATACCTCATCCAAACCAACTAAACCACTATTTTCACCCCTCAGACACCACAAACAACAACCCAAATTTCGGTACCCCCAGAAACCCCCATAACCCCGACTATTACTGCGGCGGCTCCTCTGGAGGCTCTGGCTACGCTGTCGGCGCAGGCCTAGTTCCTATCGCTCTAGGCGCCGACGGCGGAGGCTCAATCCGCATCCCGGCCTCCTTCTGCGGCGTCTGGGGACTGAAGCCCTCCCATGGCCGAGTGAGCGGCTCTCCCACCGTCTCACTGGCATCCACCACCGGCGTCTACGGCCCCCTAGCCTCCAGCATCGACGACCTAGCCCTCGCCTACCGAATCATGGCCACGCCGGCCCCAGAATCCTCAGACCCCCTATCAGCAGCCTTCCCCTCACCCCTCCGCACCCTCCCCTCCCCAACCAACAACACCCCAAGGACCATCGGCATCGTACGCGACTGGATCGACCGCGCCTCGCCTCCAGTTCGCGCCGTCTTCAACGCCACCCTCGACCACTACCGCACGCTTAAGAACTACACCATAATCGACATCACGATCCCCTACCTCCCCGAGGGGCAAAAAGCGCACGCTCTAACCATCCTATCCGAAGTGACCTCGTCCCTCACCCCTTCACAGATCTCCCAGCTCACGCCCGCCAACAAGATCATGGCTTCAATGGGCATGTGGCAAATCAAAGGCCAGGATTTCCTCGCCGCGCAACGTCTCCGTAATTGTCTCATGATGCATCTGGCTCACTTGTTCCAGAAACACCCTGGCTTGATGATCGTCACGCCTACGACGCCTATCCCGGGGTGGAAGATCGAGGGCGGCGAGGCGGATCTTAAGCGCGGCGTGTCGGATGGGAATACGACCGTTAGGAATATGGAGTATGTCTGGTTGGCGAATTTTACGGGTTGTCCGGCGATTAGTTGTCCTGCTGGGTATGATGTTTTGGATGGTGGGTCGAGGGTGCCGGTGGGGGTTATGGCGATGGGAGAGTGGGGCAGTGAGGAGGAGTTGATTGCGTTCGCGAGGGATGGGGAGGGTGTTTTGGATGGGACTGCTGCTGCTGCTGCTGCTGATGGTGGGGAGGAGAGCTCGGGGTTGACGGTTCCTCGAGGGGAAAGGGCGGCTTGGGAGGATGTTATTGCTAAAGCTGGGGAGAGAAGATGAGCTCTTAGGTTTCGATGTAGTGATTTGTTTCGGGATTTGTGGTCACTCTAATTAGTCATACCATAGTGACCAGGAGTTTATAACTCTGATGATTTTAATAATAATATGTTCGATTACGCCGGTGGTATCTGCTAAATCACATGATGCAATAGCAAAAGGGTAACGATGGATAAATTTGCTTCACGAAAGCCGCGCCAAAGATAGAACCAAAGAAGGTAGCACATATAAAAATGAAAAACAAGGGCAAGAGGTACTATAAAATGCAGACAAGCCCCCCTCACCCAGACGAGAAATGGATTCACAACACATGGCCCACAGTATTGTATAGATATAGCTCGTTGATACTGCATGGTTTGGTGTCACAAGAAGCAAGGAGCGCCGAACATGTTCGGTGCAAGGCAGACGACCCATGATGAAATTGCGGTAACCGACATCAGATCAAGACGCTCTCGCCACGTGTGGGAACTCGAAACTCGCATCCTAGCCCGGCAGCTTGTCCCTGGGCCGTGAGCTCTTGCAGGATCCGCTCCTGAGGAGGTGGGCCATCATTCATATCATCTTTGATATGTATGATATAGATCAGTAGGCCGGCCAGAGGTGGTTCAGGCCATTGAAGCACTGTGAGAGGGTCTGAACTTTCTGCCAGTGACACATCCATACCGACTTCACTAGGTGCGTGGGAAACGGCTGGGCTTCCTTCCAAGTTCTCGTCAATGTCTTCAACAGCAACTCTGGCACGGGTATGGCGGCGCGACGTCCTGGCCGATCCTCGACGAGAGCCTCCACCTTTCTCGCCAGCGAGAGCAGCCTTCTTCGACTTTGGACTGAGAGCTGGGTCGCCGGCTGCCTCAGGGGCACTCGCGCGTTTACGTTTTCTCACCGAAAACGAATCTGGGCATTTCAGCTCCGTAACCTTCTGTGCCAATACAATCAATTCATCGATCAAGTGACGTGGACACAAATGGCCGTATAAGGAGGCGTCGTCAACATCATCGTTATAGGAGCATTCAATGAAGATCGCTCGCAGTTGAGAGGCAACGATCTTCGGTGCTGCCGCTTCCCACACGCGTCTGTTGCGCGGATTCAGTGAGATTGAGTCAGGTTCAACGTCGCCGAAGATGATCACTTCTCGCTTTGTCGTAGGCTCACGGATGAAGAAAGCTGACGACTCCACGGTTGCCCAGCTATCCTTACCGGGTACCCGATAGCCTGGCGAACGTGCTCCGGAAAAGTAGCCGGTCTCTGGTTCGTCAAACGAGATCGAATAAGCCCTTGGATTCAGCCTCAATGGGTCGACACCAAAAGGGGCGCTGCTCATCCGGCGTTGAACATCATTGTCGACGCTAGATCTCTGCCTGCAGCACCCGTGACTGATGGCCAGGCATTTTGCTAACAAACCCTCGCAGACTCGAGTATAGCCTTTCTCATCACCACGCCCCATCATGGGGTTTCCGCCCTCCATCAGACGCTGGTAGGTCACAAGGCCAGCACCGCCATCCTCATCAGAAAGATTTGGCCAAATCACATCGTTAAACACGTGGGTCTTTATGGCAGCGACTACCGAAGGCAGGGCGGCCAGCGTTTTCGCGCCACTTCCAGCCTCCAGAACTGGCGTGTTGATGGCGAACGCTGACAGATGGTCTAGATGAGGATGCGTGATGCAGACAGCTCCGATAATATGCCGAAAGACATGGGCTGCGTTTGCTGGTACATTGTTATGTGGCAGTTCGAGCCCAGCAAATGGGCCCTGATCTGACAACTTTTTGTTGTTATCACACGGTTCCAAAGTGTCGATGATCCCACAAAGAAGGGTGCCCGCATCAACAGCTACTATCGAGTTTGCGGACCATTTGGTGGATGTGGATCGGACCAGAAGTCCAGTGACTCTATCCTCACGGGGACCTCCTGTCGGACCCTTTCAAGGGAAGCGTTAGTGGCCGACCTTGAATGCGAAACTTGCCAGCGATAAGATGGTATGAGGTGTAGCGAGAGTTCGAGAACATGGCGCGGGGAGGAATGTGAGACATGGCGCATCGATGCTAGTGATCGGGCTCGCCAGCCGGCAGATATTCAGGGTTTGCAATTATGTGCAAAGAACAAACGTCATGGCCAAATTGGACTGACAAACGCAGGATGTGAGACAAAACTTACCAACACGATTATCTGCAAACTTGGAGAGCCGGGGCCTTCTCCTCGGCTAGCCGCTTCTGGAGGGTTTGCTCCAACAAATGGCAATTCAGACGCTTGCATGTTTGGTTGTGAAGATGGATCAAGGCAGGAGTCGCCTGGGCATCAATTGCACCAGCAATCGATGGGATCTGGCTTTCCAGTAAAATAACCCTTTCGGACGAACTCTAGCCCTTATTTAGAGAACCACTTGGGGTAGCGGCCGGACCTTATGTGGATACCCCAAAGGATCTGGACCAGGCGATCCTTACGCTTTCTATCAAGTGAAGCTATAAAGCAGTTCCCACAAGCTGAGAACTATCGCCGTTGTTGCACTGCGTATCTGCCCGGAGAATAAGCAAGGGCCAAAATGCATATACTCCACCTAGAGCGGCTGAGCGCAGATATTAAATGCACACCACCCTCGCTTGATGGTGCAGATGTGGCAGTGGGCGGCTGTAACCTCCTCGGATTATGAGTTTGTCAAGTCGAGAGGTGTTGTGAAGATGAAGAGGTGGTACTTTCTTCGATCTTCTTGAAGAACTGCACGATGCTTTTCAATTTAGATAGCGGTCAGGCTGGCAGCCAGGCCTACGCGACCAAAGCTTTCCAAACCAGCAGCGCGCCTACTGTTGGGGGCGGCACTTCCCCGTAAATCTGGGGCAAAGCTGCGTCGCACCAGGCAAGTTAGCGCACCAGTTGTTGGCGGTCACTCGCTCGCCACTGGGCACCTGCAGCACGCTAACGACCGGGCTGAACAGATGATTCAGTGGCTGGAGGGGGATTCGGAAATCACCGTTGGCGGCAAAAGCAAATTTGAGTGGGCTTGTACGAGAGCCAATGAGTAATGAGAGGTGTTGTTTAAACCGACAAGAGTGAATATTCTATACAAGTTGACTCGCGTGAGCTCAATATAATGGTGGCTGTTGTTGTATCAAATGTGCAGATTGATGGAACGATGAGAAGATAAGGTTAGTGGGAGGAAAAGTCCGACCGAGCAATGCAGCAGTGAAGATGAGCCATTGCAGTACGGGGACCAGCCAAGGGACAAGGGAGGAACAGAAACTCTATCATGTGCGTATGTACCAGAGGATGACCAAAACTCAGTCGAATCAGTTTATGGGATGCCCAAGGACAAATACAATCGTGCGATGAAGAACCGGTGGACGTCGTCCAGTGGGTACTTGAAGACGCATATCTTACGTGCGAACGCAGAAATGCAATGTGGAGGATGAGAAACGATGGAATCTGAAGAAGAAGAAAATGATGATGATGATGATGATGATGATGACGGATAGAGGGGAGATGGAGAGGTTGAGCCGAGTCATTGACTGGCACTGGTCGATGACGCGCTGGTTGCGGAAGGAGCACAATTGCAAAAGTGGCTTGTTCTCGGAAATAATTCCAGCACTGAACATCACTGGATAATAATAGATAATGATAGCAAATATTGGGTCGAACATGTGGGGTGGAAATGGGGCAATTGATGGACCGGTTCTACTACTACTTTGTACGATCAACTGGCTACTTAGTTATTGTACGCCGTGCTACCTCAGCTGGTAGCCAATATTCTTGATGCAAAAACATCCATTTGCCGCCGGTTATCCAGCAGCGCAAGGGCAGATGACCACTCGAATGCTACACATACACACAAAATACAGGGAAGCGCAGACAAGGATTGATATAAATAACCACTGTATGTGTTCAACCATGAAAAAATATACTCCCAGACAAACACCGCAATAAATCCACCCAGTTCAAGAGCACCCATTTTTGACACGAATTGCGCAAGGAAACAAGGTCATCATTGGATCAGCATTGTCCGCTCTTCCGGTCGGTCAAGGCCGAGAAGACCCCTGCCGACCGCCTCTCCTCGAAGAAATTGATGCCGAAGGGAGGGTAGGCATTACGGGATTCAACCTTGAAAAAGGTTCCCACGGACCTAACTCGAGACAACTGATCCAAATGACGAATGAAGACAGAAACGATCAGACCCTATATACGTAAAATTCATCATTGCCACATCTAGCGGCGTAACCGTGAAACCTAACCCGTAGAATCCCGCCTGTGGAACGCCGACCGTGGCCGCTAAAATAAGGGAACAGTAGTAGAAATAGAACCAGTGGCTGAAGCATGCCGTATACACATCAAAGAGACGCTGCGCCAATAACTGATGAATAGACGATAACAATAGTTGCAGGACCTCGGTCGCCTTCTAACGATTCTCGTTGGGATGCGCCCTGTGACCGTCCCGGTTGCCAACAGCAGCGTCGTAGCTGGGTATCGGAGGCTGTTCGTCAAAGGGCAGATCCTCGCTGCCTCTCCGACTGCCATCCGGGCTGGAATATTCTGGAGGCGGGACTTGGTCGAGATCGTTCGTATGCAACAAGGGGACTTGCTCTCCATCGACGACATTGGTCCGGCTGGATCCTTCGCCTACGTCCTCGTTCGACGGGATGTGGGCAAGCTGAGCCAGGGATATATCGGTGGGTGATCGCACAGGGCCGGGACTGGCAGAAGGCGCAACACGGACAGTCGAACTGGTGCGCGCATTATTGGCATCCTGATAGACCCGTTGAGAGATCTGAGCTGCACTCTCCCGACCCGACTCTAGCAGGATGCTGCCTTGCTCGCTGCCGTAAGGCGGAGGCGGAGCCAGACTACCCGTCATCGGGGCCAGGCCCCATTTCTTGACGTTGGCCTCAATGAACACGAAGCCCATCTGACCAAAGTTCACATGGACGGAGCAAGGCCCATTGGCTCCAACAGTGGGGAAGAAATTCTGCGCTTTATGACCGTGGACAACGTCCTCCAGCTTCTTGCCATTGCGAGTGAAAAAAATTGTACCCGAGCGTGGTCGATACCCCACACCGATCACATCACCTTGCAGAAGGTGAGGACCGTAAGGTGTTGGTGCAAATGGCTGGTTGTGCCTCCTATGACCCGTGGACTGGTATGCGACCGAAGTCTTGTGGAAGCCTGACATCATAAGAAACAAAATTAGCGACCGCGGACAACCCATATCCTCCCCCAAACAAGTTGTCCAAGAACGCACCTGGTAATTTGAACAAAGGATACGGTTTCGTAGTCATCCCAATACTGATAAGAGTATTGTCAGGTTTGTCGTAGATCTTAGCCTCCCAGTAATAGACGTCATTCTGTTTCGGAACGGGCAAATTGGTCTGGACACTGCATTCCGAGTCGTAGAACTCGATTTCCGTACGGCCTTCGACAAAGCAATTGGCGATTTCCAATTCTGGTTGAAACTCCCAAGCCGATACTCCTTTTTCTTGAATCGCGAGGAACTGAGAGAGTGATATGTCGGTTTGTACGGACTCGGGCGGATTGGCTTCGATAAATGCTGTGTGGGAGATCAGCGACAAATGCACATACGTCATGCTTTACAAGACCCCATGGTCGTCGTTTGCCCAAAGGAGCGGACAAAGAGCCAGTGACTTACCCTTCGCTCTCATATACTCCGATCGCGTGAGGTCATCCATCGTCTCCAAGGCTTCCGCCTCCTCGCGCGCAAACGCTTGCTCATCATCGAATTCACCCGGTCGGCCGATGCGATCGAGAATAATTCTACCACGCTGAGTGTATTTGAAGAAAAAGAAGACGGCGAGTACAAGCACTGCAACGGCGGCGGATCCAAAGGCAGAGAGGACGCCTATCAGGATACCCTTGCCGGTAGAACCCGACGAGTTGCCACTGACGCTGACTAGACCGCCATTGCCTTCTGACATGGACAACAAGACATGTTCAATGTTCGAGGCGACTAGTTTGGGATCGGTCGGAGGGGGTTCAGAAGCAGCGGTGGGATTGATTCCAAGGGACGTGGCAAGAGTCGAGGGAGCATCAAAGAGAGCACCGGGCCCCGATGCCTCAGATCCCCGCATCGTTCATTGACTGGTTGGAGGTGTTGCGTCGACACGGACTCGCTGTAACGCTAAACTGAATATTATTAGATAAGGAGGGAAAGCGACACTAGGGAGATTGGCGGGTAGATGAAAGGTTTAGGGGAGGGGAAGGAATGAGAGATGGAAAAGTTGAAGAGGAGTGAATGAGATGAGGAGCGATGATGAGGGAGTTCAAATGGGGAGAGTTGGAGGTCGGGACCAGAAACCAAGAAGCAGAAGCCCAGGAAGAGAGAGAGAGAGAGAGAGGCGCATGTGGGGGGCGAAAGGCAGCGACGCTTCCGGGCGATGCGCTCGATGCTTTCGGATGACAACACTCAAGGCATGTTGTGAACTCCTGAAGGAGATACAGAAATTAGATGGGCCACGTTTGAGATCAGATACACTCTACATATGCCTGCCTGCGGACTAAGTTGCTCCCCAAATAACTGTCCATGCAAGGTCCCAAGCAGTCCAGGGAAAAGGGATGAGGGACTCGAGAGTCCCTTGGATGCCTGATCAGGGACTTAATCGCCCGTCACTCTTCAATAATAATCATCTCACATCAGAGACGTATCTCTTGCCTGTAAGATACTGTATCGACAGTCTGGCCAGGCCATTAGTCATACCAAATAACACGTATTTTAGCTGTTCCATGGCAGTAAGAATACAAGACCCGGTCAGCATGATGGAACTCCGCCGGAGACCCTGTCTAAACCCGATAGAGAGACGCAATCGCTGGCTGTCATTCCTCTCCCTCTCCCTCTCTCTCTAAGCGCTGTCTTATCTCCCCCAGTCCCTCTATCTCCCTTCCTATACCGTCATTCAGGTCCCTCGCCTCTGTGACAGTCCTGTCTCTATAGGCACATCCATTCCCACTCTGCCTGTAGATCGTGGTAAGCAACAGGATGCGTGTTTCAATCCCGCCGGAGCTTGTCTCAAGCCTTGGTGCCTGCGATCTCCGCGTAACAGTGCGCGGCGAAGGGATCGATAAGTATCCAGGTATGTCTCATGTTGTGACCCCCAGGATATATACTCTTTCCTCCCTCACATTTATCATTCCCCTCCTGTTTTGATCCTGGGACGCCCGAAGACTAATAGGAGGTCCCGGCGCAGCCAAACAACATGCGCGCAAAGTTGCCATGAAGCTGGGAGTGTCCAGCGGCCTTATCTACCTGGTTGGGAAACCAACCATCAATTGGGGGGATTCCGACCAACCACAACCCTTTCGACAACGACGGTACTTCTACTATCTTAGTGGAGCCGATGAGCCGGACTGCTATCTTACCTACGACATCAACAATGACTTACTGGTTCTTTATGTCCCGGACTTTGACCTACACCGCGCAATATGGATGGGGCCCACGTTGACCACAGATGAGGCTGAACGGCGGTTTGACGTAGACAAAGTGCGCTACTATGCTTCCCTACAGAGCGATATCCAGTCGTGGGTAGAGAAATACAATGATGCCGCCCCAGTCTACATCCTCCATAGCTCTCAGCAGCCCCAATTCTCTGTCCAGCAGCTTCACATAGATGATCAGCGCTTGCTACCCGCAATGGATGCAGCGCGGGTGGTTAAAGATGACTATGAGCTTCGTATGATACGCCACGCCAACAAGATATCCGGGTTGGCCCATCGCAAAGTGCTCGAGCAAATCCACAAGATGTCCAATGAAGCCCAGATCGAAGGCCTTTTCCTCGATACCTGCGTATCTCACGGAGCGAAGAACCAAGCATACGAGATCATTGCTGGTTCGGGACCCAACGCAGCCACCCTCCACTATGTGAAGAACAACGAGCCCCTCAAAGGACGACAGCTGGTCTGTCTGGACGCAGGTGCGGAGTGGGAGTGCTACGCAAGTGACGTGACCCGCACATTTCCTTTGGCCGCCGATTGGCCCAGTTCACACGCCCGCGACGTCTATCAAATCGTAGAAGAGATGCAGGAGCAGTGTATCAAGCGCATTAAGCCGGGGGTGCGGTTTCGCGACTTGCAGGTTCTTGCCCACGACATAGCCATTAGAGGCCTGCAGAAGCTAGGCGTCCTCAAACCGGGCACCGTGGAGGAGATTCGTGTATCGGGGGCGTCGGCCATTTTCTTCCCTCACGGATTGGGCCATCACGTTGGACTGGAAGTCCACGACGTGTCCGAAAAGCCAATCACGGGAATGGGGCTGCCTAACAGACCTTGCAGACCTGACTTCATCCCAGCCATGAGCCAGTCGGTCCCCCTGCTCGAGGAGGGCATGGTTGTCACCATCGAGCCAGGCGTTTACTTCTCCAAGCTGGCTCTGGCGAATTCTCGGAAATTGCCTCAGGCGCGGTACATCAACTTCGACGAGGCCGAAAAATACATTCCCATTGGTGGCGTACGCATTGAAGATGATATTCTGGTCACTCGGACAGGGTATGAGAATCTGACGACGGCGCCAAAGGGCGACGAAATGCTGGAGATCATCCGGCGCGGGATCGACAATTAGCCGAGCCGTCATGTCAACGATTCGATTTTGCCTTGGCGGTAACAAGAGCGACTCTCGTTTCACAGTTTCTCCATTTCCCGTCAGTGTATGACGATGATGTAGCCAGTCTAGACCCTCTTCGCATTTCTGCTTGTGTGGAGCGTTGCTGTACCACTTTCAATTACCGAGTCGCACCAAAATGGCATGATTGGTCGCTGAACGGGACTGCTCTCTCCTCAGCAGTCTCGATTCCGTCAGAGGCGTTTTCCACACTCCATACCTCCCTTCCTCCTACGTAGTGTGTATCCCATCTTCATCTCCTTTCTCCTTGGATAGCCGGAAAAAGTCTATACCACACCTGTACTCAGTAGGCTAGAAGCAAATCCCATCATCACTTACCTAGATACTTACCGCCCATTGTCATCTTATCCTCAACCAAGGAACCACCAAAACCCGAAACACAACATGAACAAAGACACACACACACACACATACGCCAGATGAAACAATCTCTCCCGTCTCAGGCACACATACACACACATCCTCATCTCCAATATTAGCAACAACACAAAACAACACAACACAAGTCCCCATCGGACCGCAAATAACCGCCCCCATCCATCCACCACCCACTTCCCTTCCCTTCTCTCCCGTATTGAACTTCTTGTCTAGACTTCACTCGCAGTCTAGAAAACCCACGATCTTTCCACACGGCTCCACATATTAATTTTTTCCTTTCCCTTTACGCCCCCATAGTAAGCCACAAAAGGGGGCGGTAGTAGTAGTGTGGAGGGTGGAGTGGGTTTTTCCGTGCCCTAGGGCTTGCAGGTATACAGTAAGTACTAAGTACTTTTGGTTACTCATGCGTGGACAACAACATCAGCAGCAGTAGCAGCAGCAATAATAGACGGTGGTAAAAGGGGGAGGGGAGGGTTTGGATGGGTCATCAGGGCTAGTTGGTGAGTTAGTTCGTTCATCGTGTTCTCCATTTGCGGGGTTTAGAGAAATGGGACTTCGACGGTAGTGTTGGAAACGGAGTCTCGGGGAAGACGGAAGGAGATGGGATGAGGTCCAGTGTGCCCACGTAGACTGTTGTCTTGGGGTCGGTTAGTTAGTGCAATTGGGTTTCTTTTGGTGAGAGTGAAAGAGGTGAAGGGAGGGAGGGAGAGAGGGAGGAAGGGTAAGGTGGTTTGTTTGCGAGTGAGAACAAAGTAGATAGTTGGGCCACGTTCGTTGGAAGTACGTGGTTGGAGTAGAGTAGTTATACTATAGCTATAGCTGTCGCCAAAATAGCTGTACATGTAAGTAGCGAGTGGTACTCCGTAGGTTCGCAGTTTGCTTCCTTGTTTTCCCTGCAGCTACTACCTAACCAACCAAACCATAGTAAACAAACAAACGAACAGGAACCCTACTCCGTAGATACTTAGTTCAGGCATACAACTCCCTCTTGAATATGCCAGTAAAAGTTTGATATCCACTACTGCAGTATATTCAGGCATGCATCCCATCTACTTACTGGAGACCTGTCTGCCAGATGGCTTGCCAGCCACGCGCTACGTAGTCGCATATCGTTATGGTTTGTCCGTGTCCGTCCGCCAGGAACAAACAAAAAAACACGCATTCATGCACAAAGAATAACTATCGATGCCAAAGGAGTATAGTTGGGACATGTGTCAAGGCTGGATTAGAGCCACGAAAGTCGGTCAAAGCAGAATTTTTCCCTTTGCGGCTTTTTCATTTTTGTGCCGAGATCTGCAGAGATTTTTTCTCTTTTTTGTGCCCCCAAGGTAAGTGTAAGTTTGTGGGGGGGGCGAAATTCGATGAGATTGAGGGATATACCTTGTTAGTTAGTTAACTGGTTGGGTAGGATGTTATTGATGCGGTTTGATCATTGAGGCATTATTTATTTTATTGGGATTATCGAAAAGGGTGAAGAGTGTAGTAAGTAAGTAGTTGATCCGTCCCGTCAACAATGGATCGACAGAAAGGGAAAATTGGATCTAGAATTATTGATCGATTCCCGCACAATTAAAGACAGACTACTACCATCTAAGTACTACGAGTAGACTATCTATCAGCCATGCCGCTATAGATCGACGCGCGGAGTAAATAGGAAACAATATGTGACAAGTTTGACAACTGACCAAAAGATGCCCGATTTCCTCCGTAGTGAAAGATGCTGCCGAAGCAGCCGTGGTAGGATGTTGTTGTCATCTCCTGACTGACTGACGGAATTGGACTGGCTTTGACGACTAATGCAAGGTAATTTTGGCGCGTCATAATACCCGCTCGGCCCGTACGGCATCCACCCCTCGCCACTCGGCCAGGCTGAAACGGCTTGGATAGGTGCGTGGTAATAACCAGAGTCCTCGTTGGTTTCAGTTGTAGTCCTGCAAAACAGGAGAGTCAAGTGCGTGGTTATAAATATGACTAAGAGAAAGCTTTGTCGCTCTAGATCACATGACATCACAACTGGGGACAGCGGCACCGGAGACGGGTTTTGTATTGTAAAAGGAGTACCTTGTTTGCTCATCGCAGAGAAAATTTGGCTCATTCGGGGCCGAGAACTTCCTTTGCATGGCGTCAGACCACTGCATTTTGGGATAATATTTTGCAAAATTTCGGAAATCTTGGTTCATTTCTCTTTTGAGCCTTTGTTTAACATCTCCTGATATCTAATAATTCCGTTTAATCCGATTCAGTTGCACCGTGGGTACAGACTGGGCCGCATTAAAATTCTTCTTGGTGCTGCTTCCCTTGCCAGGCGCACGGAACTCAATCAGAGGTTGTGTTAGGCAGCTAGGCTGAACCAGAATTTTCTCATTCATTGTGGAAGGCAGCGAATAGTTCTTACTGGTTCCATCACGATGATGGGAAAAAGAAAAAGGGTATAACCAAGAATAGTAGTAGACTAAGTAACCTAGACTTGGGTCGGGGAGTAGTGACTCAGGAGAACCCTAATTCGTGAAACTTCTTTGTACGGAGTCGCGCCCTTGTGCTCCGTAGGGCCACTCGATGATTTGGTGCGAGCTAAATCACTACGCAATCACCGTTCTCCATGAGACCACATTTCACCATCGGCAAGCAGGGTTAGGTATTTCTGCTTCTAGACTGCATCAGAGTGGAGTTGGCACTCCCGAAGGTAGGGGGATGCTTGAGTGGATCCCCCCGAGCCGGATGTGAAGATTTTCGTCCTGCTTTCTGTGCCTTTGTAACCTTATTGGGTTATAGTGAGTCACACCACTGCTTTCCCCGTTTCGGCAATCGTTCGGGTTGCGCCATTCTCCATCCGCCATCCGCATCTATATATACGCCTGCTCCCTGTTCATGATCTCCTGATCCCCCCTTGGCTTGGGTTTTTTCCTCACCTCATCTCATCCTTCCCAGGGGTGATGGTCACTCCTTCCTTTCTATCGACTTAGTATAAAAAAGCCTCTTCGGACAATAGATCCCCTCTTACTGGGGACTATTGTCTTGAAAATACCCGCTCCCCTACTACACCATTACGACCTACACCCCGAAAAGCAAGAAAAAAAAAAGTTTCAACAAGCTATATCCTCCTTTTTCGCCGGATTGGACGGAGAATGGGCCAGAGACATAATCGACGTCGCACACGACCCCGATCTCGAAACCGCAGCGCCAATCCTCTACTTCTTCCGTCCCAACCTTTCCCACGACCTGTCAACCTCTGCGCTCCAGCTGTTTCCTCCGCTTTCGACTGTCCTGAAATACCCGCCCCGACCTGGCACTATGGGCATTTGCTAGGACAGAAGCGTGATCGTGCGCTGAGGATGGAGGCTTCTACGCTGGAGGCGGAACAGTATCGCCTCTTTGGCGGTGTCCTGGGCGACGATGTTGGTCTCTGTTATCGCATGTTGGAGTACTTCGGTGGACTCGATTATATCGATTGGTGAGTTGTCTCAACCGAGCAATCAGCGTTGGACGAGCAATGACTAACAGTTACCGCATAGTCCACAATCCTTAAACGCACTACCTGGGTGACTTGGACCCTGCAGACGTCATTGGGCTTTTTTGCAGCAATTTCATAATTGTCGTCCAGGCGGTGGAAAAAATAATATTTTCAACAAAACCAAAAAAGGGAAACGAAGGCATACCCAAATGGCACGCAAACCTCAACCGATCGCCAGCGGGCCCCATCCCGACATTATCGAAAATCAAAATCCGACATCAGCGAAACCAGAACAATACCAGCCCTCGAAATAAAAGCGCGAGAACCAGTTTTCAATGGAGGACCCAAGTCAGTGACTTGTAGCAATGAAGATCCCCTCTCCCTGTAAGAAGGGAGAGGCGCGATTGGATTGGTCTTTTGAAAGGCTTGGCCATGTGAACGCTGGCATGGAGGAAACCGGCACGCTTGCAACGTCGAGATCAGAGGGTCTGCCATGTCGAGGGCTTATTCGCTTTCGTGGGTCGAGTTCGTGCCCGACCCAGTCTCCGGTCATTTTGGCGCTTGAATTCCCTGCGGAGCGGGTAAGTGACTCACATTGTGCAGATTCTTTTTGCATTTCCGTCTGTCTAGCGTGTAGGGGACTCCGTTCCCACGCTAATATCCAGAGCTGGCTCTGATGCTCGAAATTTATGAGGAAACGAAAGTACCAAAAAGTTTGGGATGGCGTTCTAAAATTGTCCATTCCTGGGATACACAAAAAAGAGGGATACAGTTTTATGATGAAATGAAGCTTGGATGTGACATGCTTGTATACTCCAAACCTGGAGATTTTCTGTATCCTAGTAGATAGACGTAAGCGCCGTACAGTATCAGTATGTACGGCCTGACATTAGTCAAAAAATGTCACCATGATAATTCATTCATACAACAGTCCAGCTAAAATGTAGTCATCGCAAGAGTCATCAAGGTACTAGTTAGTCACGCCTTACGGAGGACTAGTTAGTTAAAAGTCAAAAGTAGACCCAAAACTAAGCACATGACCCTGAAAGCCTGAATAATTGGGACCAAGCCACCAGTTCCATTCAGGCAGGCGGTGTGGCCCCCCTACGGCCCCGTAAAGGACACGGTCGATCACAAGGTACAGCCGACGCCGATGCGGATAATCCCATCTTGTCGACAGTTACTCCGGCCTACTCTCTCGCCTTCCTTTCACCTTCCACACTCTTTTGTCACGCCTGGCAGAGGGATAATGCTCCTCTATTATACTACTTGAATCCTGTACTAATTGCCTTGATCTGCTGGACATATCTGTCACGCAGCGAACTCAGTGTCCGGGAGACACTTTTTTGTACCAGTCCTGCCCGCTGCGGGCGACCGTGTCCATTGTGAAATTGCTTCACCATGTCTACCGACTACAATTATGATGACAAGGTTAGTCGCCTATTGGATCGGAAGCCAATAATGCACCGTAAACTAACGTATTCTCTAGGGACAATTTTTCCCGTTCTTTGTCCTGACCCTCACCAGTCTTGTCACACTCCCTCTCACATACAACCTTCTCCGACCGAGCAAGGGTTCGTACTAGCCTTATCCCCTCTGGACACTCGCGGGTTTCTGGCGGTTAGATGTGATCTGTACTAACTGTCCCATGTCGCTGCAGGTCTCGAAAATACCGCTCCCCGGATAAAGTCCGAGTTCAAGCCAGAACATGCAGAGCTTATTGAGGCGCAGAAGCGCAAACGCCTGCGCAAAGAGCGCCGCATCAAGCGCATAATTACTGTTGTCGTGGGTTACGCTGTCATGGCATGGATGGCCTATTTGATCGTCGTCACCGCGAGGACTGTACCCAAAGTTTGGGACCCTTATGACATTCTGGGTGTTTCAAGGGTGAGCATTCATCCAGTCCACCTGGCGTTTTGGTCGCGTCCTCCAATAACTTATGTAGCTGTACTAACTGTAATAAATTTCAGAGTGCCGATGAGAAAGCTATCTCAAGACACTACAAGCGCCTCTCACTTATCTATCACCCCGACAAGATCCGCCCGGACCCCGCAAAGAATGAGACTATTGAGATGCTCAACGAACGTTTCGTTGAGCTTACCAAGGCATACAAGGCGCTTACCGACGAGGAAATCCGCAACAACTATATCCAGTATGGCCACCCTGATGGCAAGCAGAGCATGAGCATCGGTATCGCTCTGCCCACGTTCATCGTTTCGGAGGGAAACTCCAAGTACACTCTGCTGGTCTACGGTGCACTGCTTGGTGTTTTGCTGCCCTACATTGTCGGGAAATGGTGGTATGGCTCCCAGCGCTACACCAAGGAACGCGTTCTTGTCGCAAGTGCTGGAAACATCTTCCGCGAATACAAAGAGGACATTACCGATGGCGGTATCGTCAACGCCCTGTCCTCCGGCGCAGAGTTCAAGGAGATGCTCCAGGGACCTAAGATGGATGCTGGACTGGCCAAGCTTGAGAAAAAGGTTCTGGCTGAGGATTCTACCTTCCTGTCGCCTGAGGATCGCGAGGTTATTAAGGGTCTGGACGAATCGAGCAGACGCAAGGCTCTGGCATTGCTGTGGGCTTACCTTGGCCGCGTTGACCTGGAGGACACTACACTCAACGGAGGTACGTGAATTTGCATTCAATGCGTCCAGAGAATCTGCTAACATTCGTGTACCTACAGAGAAGTACGAAGCTGCACCAATCGCTCTGTCGCTGAACGAAGCTTTCACAGCCATTGCTCTCGCATTCGGTAACGTCCGGCCCATCCTGGGTTCTTTCCGGACCTCCCAGCATCTCATCCAAGCTGTTGCGCCTGGCTCGTCGCCTCTCCTGCAACTCCCTCACTTCACGGAGGAAGTTGTCAAGTCCGTTGAGGGTGCCGACGCAAAGGAACACTTCACCGTCCAGAAGTTCATGAGCATCCCTGAAGACAAGCGTCGCAGCCTCACTGTCGGCGCTGGCCTCATGTCCGAGAAGCAGTACACCTCCGCCGTAACCGTCGCCAAGCAGCTCCCTGTCCTGGAAGTCTCCCGTGCCTTCTTCAAGGTCATGGGCGAAAAGGTCATCACCCCCAGCAGTCTCGTCCAACTGGTCGTCAAGGCCCGCTTCATCCCTCCTGGCTACAGCGCGGACGTCCCACCGGTTAACCCCACCGACCTTGAAGACATTGACCCCGACGAAGACGACCTGGACGCCATCATGGGCCGCAAACCCGCCAAGAACAAGACCACGAAGCTCGTCAACGGCGTCAAGGTCGAAGAGAAGGTCGAAACCATCCAGCCTCCCCTCGCTCACGCTCCCTACCTGGCCCGCGACCACTCGCCCCGGTGGCACATCTTCCTGGCCGACGCCAAGCAGGGCAAGATGGCTGTCCCACCCTTCACCTTCACCACCTTCGACAAGCCCCTCTTCGACGCCGACGGCAAGCCCACTTTCAATGTGCAGACTCTCAAGATGCAGTTCCAGGCTCCTCCCCAAGTCGGTGACTTTACTTTCGTCCTGAACATGCTCTGTGATAGCTACTTGGGTCTGGACACTAAGATGGAAATCACCCTTCACATTGATGACCCCGCCAAGGCGGCCGCTTTGGATGAAGAAGATGATATCAGTGAACCTGACGAGGGTAAGCCACTTTCCCCCTCTCCCGTAACCCTTTCTCTCACAGTACTTAAACTTGATACTAACCAACATGATGTGGTATAGACTCAATAGCCGGCCAAATGCAAGCCCTGAAGACCGGCCAACCACCCAAGAAGAAGACCAAGAAGCCCTCTGACGACTCCAGCGACGATGATGAAAGTGATACCGACGGAGATGCAGGAGATACCAGCGACACGAACACAGAGACCGATGTTGACGACTAAAGCAAGTAAAGTGTGGAGATTAGGATTCTCCAAGTAGAGGAAAGAGAAAGAAAAAGAAAACAAAATCAAATCAAATCAAACTCATTTTATAAGGGATACTACTACTTCTGCTGCTACTATATTACGGGAGTTTTTCACCTGCTACATCCAAGGGATCATTGTTGTGATTGTGTCTCATGTGGATGGAGTATTTTCAGTTTTGCATTTGCATTGTTGTTGCTTGTCATCATTATATAACTTACATACCATACCATACCATTTTCGCAATGAAAGCAGGGAAATTTTTCATATTGTCAATATTTAATGTCTTTTATTCTTATCCATTAGGATAGATTTAATTTCTAGTATGTCTTAGTATTTTCGTATTGTTCTTCCCCTTTTTGGTCGTTTCGTGATCATGTTCATTTTGTTTCCCATTTGTAGTGGTAAGTTGGAAGGTAAGTACTCTTGTTTTGATGTAATAAGTAATAGTTTTTATTCAGTCTGATGTTATGTTTCATTTTTACTGGTGTCAATTTATTACTATTAAATCAACTCTTCAACTGCACTGGTGGGGCAATTGCATAACGTGTTTGTGTGGCTTGCATGCTGGCTTGGCTTCTTCTGGGTCTACAGTAGTAGTGGACTAGTCAGCACCCCTCCCTAGTTAACTAGCTAACCAACAATGATGCCCTTGCTTAGTAGTTGCTGACTGACATTAGTAGTAGTAGTAGTAGTAGTAGTAGTTATAGTTATTTGCTGTATGGGTTAGACGAGATGGGGTGCAAAGGGGACTAATTCAATTGAACGTTTGTTCGATTCATTCATGGTACGTGCATGTCTGCGGGACCAAACCCTCTAATCTCGAGGGGTTGTTCTCTGTTCCTATTGATGCATGATACATGGTGTATATGTATGTTGTAGCAAATTGCTCGCTTATTACTTCTTTGTTCTGTTCTGTTCTGGGGATATATGAGAAGAGAAAGAAAAGAAATGTGACCAGAAACGAGAAAGAAGGAAGAAGATAGGGCATGCGAGTAGAGTAGAAAGAGTCGGTGTATCAAGTCTGAGAGAGACTTTGATGGTGGAGTAGGGGCCTGTATAGGGGCCCAGATCTAGTAGTAAAGAACGCATAAGTCGAGGAAGGTCAAGGAACCTAACCCCTCAACGCCTGTGACCTTGCTTGTACATGTCAGTGGATCCTGTCTCGGCTGGCTTGAGCCGAGCAAAACGCCGTGCCGGGTATGATATGATATAGAATAAACATTGCCGAGAGTTTCACAGGTACTCCGTAAAGGGCTATGATAGAGAACAATAAACCGTACGCAGCACGATACAGAGCTAAAGAAAGCAGAAAAGGCGGCCAAGAATGGCTGTCAGCCTGTATAATGTGCATGTACAAGGAATGAGATATGGACGGCGACAGTCAGGCCTGTCCGATGAAAGAAAGTGGGTAGAAAGAAGAGTATGAAAAGGACCGCAGTCACTTGATAGAGATACTAGGATATGTGACCACCCCTATCCACATGTATATGTCCACCCAGATGGAAGAGATGGGTAAACAGGCTGCTCTGCTGGTACATGGAGGTTAAAGTCATTCATCATGACAACAGGGAATCCCGATGCGGATGTGGGCTGGTGCGAGCCTGGCCTGGCTGCCACTCCAGTTTCTAGACGGGTTTTCGTGGGCCCTTCATCACAGCTGGCAGCCATATAGTAATAGAGGGGATGTCCATGGTCGGCCATAGAAGGTACAACTTCCGGGCATTTATCTTCACTCGAGAGGCCATGTGGCTCCAGGTTTGTTCGGGGCAAAGTCATCTGGTGATATCCAGGATGAGAGTAACTATGATATTGTCCCGAGTGAAGGGGCTGGACAGGTTGCAACTCCCATTTCCAAGGCTCTGGCCCCTTGGAGGAAGTAGGAGTGATAGGACTGCAACTACTGGGAGTAGGATCCGGAGGAGTGGCCGGTTCTGGTGAGGGATCCGTCGTAGCACTGCAGTCCGTCGAGGTAGACAGGAACCGCAAATACCGCAGGTCTTCAGTATCCTCCTCGGGCTCCTCTGGATTCTCTTCGGCCTGTTTGATCAATCCGAGACGGTCCAGGATGGCATGAGTTAGAGGCTGACCGTCCGAGAGCTCGACGAGAGGCTCGCCGGGAAATCCTTCCTTGTCAATGCACAGTTTGTATAGCCTTTGGAGCGCCTTGACAACCAGCGAATGGTGGGATTCCAGCATTTCAACGAATCTATTCACACTCACAGAGACCAGTCAGTTTTGTCAGTCCATAAAGGGAGAGCACACTAAGACAATGTAGAGTAGAAATCAGGACCTTACCCTCGAGAGTATACTTTGGTCTGTGTGGCCTTCCGTTCCCGGAACAGACACGGATGATTGTAGGCCGAACAACGATTGCACGGCTGTTTCCCATCACACTAACATGAATGAGCATGGCTGGCCAACGATATAGTGCGCTGAGGCCAGGGTAGAGGTGAAAGATGACAAAGAAGAGCCCAGTACTTCACCAACCTTGGTCTTCTTAACTCTGCAACGATCGCAAGCCTTCAGCACATGCTTGCGTTTGACACGAAAGACGCGCTGGTCATGCTTGTCATCTCCCAGTCCTGCGCGAGACTCAAGTTGCGATAGAGATGATACTGCAGCAAGATTGTAGATGGCGTCTGGGAAGCCTGGGATATGCGATTTGGGTCGCAGTTTAGGCTGCCTCGACATCTTGCAGGGGATTCTCGGTGTGCAGTCAAGATAACAACAGAGAGATGAAAGAAAGGAACCTTTGCGCACACCCACAGAGGGAAGGAACAGAGCAGGAAGAGAGTTGGAGGGGGAAGGAGAAAAGAGGGCAGACGAGGGGGGAGGGGGAGCTCTGATAGTGATATGAGACCTGACTAATGGCTAAGTAGAGAAAAAGGAGGGGGAGGGGTAGGTAGATGAATGGCAGATGCTGGAGCAAAGCAAGCAAGCAAGCAAAGCTAAGCAAGCAGGTGGGGTGCGAGATAATTGCAAGGGGGGGAAGGAAGAGGAGGAGGATGTGGCAGAAGAGGAGGCTGAGAGACCAAGTCTTGTCTTGTCTTTGAGGACTTCAGTTGATATCATTCTAATCATTTTATGCCAGCCTGCATATCGAATGCCCCGCACCTCCCTTGGACCTCCTGCTACCCCACTCAACCCCCCCGAGACGTATAGTATCATCGCCTGAGAAGAAAACGCGCTGGTGACGTGGAAAAAAGCGGCCTGTCACGATATCGACCGGCACCGGTCGCTCGACGTCCTTCAGGCCGTTTTGGCTGTGGCAGCCTAGCAGGTACACCAGGGGTCCCCGCATATCTGGACAGATATGCTTGACAAAAGCCCACACTCTGTTTGTTTGCTGATACAGGTGACCATCCCCCCTCCCCCCGATTTTGCTGGCGCGAGACACGCCAGGCAGTCATGCCTGTCGACGGTCCGAGCCGTCAGAACCAGAGAATGTCCATGGCACCGCTCATCGGCACTAGCCGGGCACAATCCTGGTCATTTGGGCAGCGAAGCGCAGAGTGAGCCTTCAAGCTGACCTTCCTGTGCCATGCCAGTGGTGGCCTTTCCGTATCAAGGTAGAACAGTCAGGTACTCGTCTCGTCGCGTCATAATCTTTTGCGACAGCTTGGTCGCTTCTGTATTCCGTATCTTTCCTATCCTTCGCCCGTCATCCTCTTGGTTTTGGTTTTGTCAGTGCTGCTTGCTGGGTGAGACATGGCCATAGCACAGGAGTACCGGAGCTGTAGACTCAGGCAGAGCTCGGGACCGATGAGGAAAACTTTGATACCACAGTCTGTCTGGCAGGCGCGTATCGAATGATTTGCCAGCTGCCATTGGCACACGGATGACCGGCTCACTAACACTCTGACTACCGCCATGCAATCGACGAGCGCGTGCTTTACACTGAGTTCAGCGTTACGCCAAGGGCGATGAGTCGGCGTTGGCCCAATGGGTGCGGCCTGTCACTTGCTTTTTCCTTTCCAAAATCCAACCTTTTTTTTTTCTCTTCCCCTTTCCTTTTTTCTGTGTTGACTATTTTCCCCTTTCCCGCAGATTTTCGGGCAATCACCTGCACAGGCATGTTCTGCTCAACTAGGCCTAGTAGTAAGCAAAGAACGTGCAGCACACTTAGAAATAATAATAATAATCAAAGGAAATGACCGCGGCAAAGTCGGGTGGCCTCCATCCAGTCAAGAAAAGCCGCATAATGCTTTTTGTTCATCGACAGAGCTAGTTAATCATTCTGAGCTTTGTAAGCGCAGTATTGTAAGTAGACTGTCTAAAACAGGATCTGGGGTCTATGTATCGCTAAGGTCCACTCCCGTCATATCAGCGACACCATTCATGGTGTGTGGCGTTGCTGTCATGTCGAAAATGATAGCGGCACGATAATGAGCCCTGTCAAGAGATCACCTGAAAATAAATAATAATAAAGATATGGGAAGACAGGGATGCCAATCTATCGAATGGATGCCCCGCCAAGGTCACTGGTAGGATGCGTGCAATGGCATTGTTGGTGACAGAAGTGTAATAAACATTGAGTAAGCGTCAGCGCATCAGGCTGCAGTTGACTTGCAAGGTGCAGAGGGGTTGCACGGCGTGCGCTTATTGCATCTCTGCACGAGCCGAGTCCGTCAAAAAGGGAGAAAAAAAACGAGTATCCGTGCATGTTGACCTGTATCGAAAGCGTAACTGGAGTCCAGCCACGAAAAGGGAGCCGGGAAAAAATAAAAACATGGCATGGACATGGATAATCGAATTACATTTGATTAAAAATGATGCCTCCATCCTATTTTTCCTGCAATATCTCTGACTGTTGTCACATTCGGGCCACACAATGTGTCATGGAGTCGACTCGAGAGACTTGATACGAGATCAGGCAAGCCCGGGCCACAGGGGATCCGATAACACCCTCAAGTCTTTAGCAGGACCGCTAAGAGCAGGGCAGGATTGTTGTGATTTCCCCTCTTTCACCCGCTTTGAACTGAGGGGTCCGAGGATCCTGCGTGAGTGCAAGTCAAACCGCACGGGCGACTTGCAGGGAAAAAGGTCCGCTCACCTGCAGGGCCTTGGACCTGAACGGAGGGGTTGGTTGATGGTTCAGTGGTGGTGGTGTTGATTGAATTCTCACCGTCTGCTTAACCTCGTCCCCTCCAATTTGCCCTACTGAAAATAAACTTCCGTCAAAAAATGTTGAATCCTTACATCAGGAACGTATTGGGGAGACTGTGGCGCAGGCAAGGCGCGGGGCATTCGGAATAGGTCATTTTTGACAGTCACCCCTGCTGAAGGTTAATCTCAACTTGCGAGCATCCCGTCGATCAGCCTGGGCATCGCTAAGGATTCAGGCAGAAAACATCAGACAAAAGGATAGGATATTGTAAAAAGTCATGAAATGGACCGAAGACGGAAGGATAGAGAGAGAAACCGGGATTGGAAGACGAGGAGTGCTGATGGAACGAAGCACGACAAGCAGCAGCCGAACCAGAAGTGGATGGATTGGAGGAAGACTGACTGACGGATTGATGCCCGGCCTGCCAAATGGAGCCAATCACGGCAACGTGACTTTTCTTCTTTACTGTATCCCTTCTCCCCGTCCACAATGACTTTCCAGTGCGACTAGTTCGCTTGTTGTGCTTCATTCCTTCTCCGCCTTCCTTGGTTGTTATCGTTATTGTTGTTGTTATGACTATGGTATCGTTGTGCTATCGCTTTTGTCCTTCGCCAGAAATCGTCTCCCATCCCGATGCACAGCGTCATGGTCCCATGACGATCCTCCTGATGACTGACACACCGACAACAACAGAGACACTCACACCGAAAAAAAAAAAAGAGACTCATAGCTTTGACTGGGAGGCAAAACAGAGAGAGAAATTGATAGAGCGCGCAACACGAACCGGTAAGAACTTCGCATCAAGTCTATACATCCCAAATCTCTGCCGCGTGCCCAGGCATCCTGGTATCACCTGCATTGCATGACATAACCTAGCATGATCTCTGTTTACATTTCCAATTCACGGGAAAACGGCCAAGCCAATGGACGATCAAAGAAGGCAATCCTTGGTTTCTCTAAACCTGAATGAGCGGCAGGGATTCAGCCCTTCCCATATGGCAAAGAGTGAGTGAAGCCCGGGCGATTGTGGTTGGTCTACACCGCAGTACAGTAGTGCTGATGCTGGAATATCTGTGGTTCGGGACAGGCAACCCTCTCGGCCCCGAAGAGCATCGCGCAGATGCTGAATTGTCAGACTACTCAATGGGTAATAGTACATAATCGCGCCGACGGGTGAATGCGCGGACACGCTTGTTTTCCCACTCGTGGCTGCCACGAAAGCCAGGGCTATTTCCTTTCCTTTCCTTTTCTTTTCTTTTCTTTCATCATTCCTTTTCCACCGAGAGGTTTCCGTGGCGATACCAGTTATGTAGTATCCCGGCCAACTTTGGCTACCAGATTTGTCTCTGAGAGCCGCTTCTGCGCCTCCTCGGAAGAGTTTGGCCAACCTAGAGGCAACAAACCTGAGGATATGCATCGTGTCCACATCTGCAGATCAAGAAAACGAAAGCACCCGCGGACGTCGACCGATGCTCGATACGGAGTGCCATAACTCCGAGACCCGTGACCAAGGGACAAATATGCGAAAACCGGAGTGATCTGGAGTCAAATCGCTACTACTCGTCAGAAGCCAGCTGAAGTCCCGGAATAAGCAAACAGAGGCGGCTAATCACAAAAAGATCTCATACAAAATGTTCTCAACGAGCAAGTAGACAGGTCAGGTATGGACACGAAGATCGATGTTACTCTTTCTGTGCAGTGAGACGGAAAGGGGGAAGGGAATAAAACAGAGACGCAAATTAGAGAATTGTGACTGGGGCAATAAAGTAGTATACATTTACTATTTGATAGTTACTTGAACCATGGGTCAGCCAATAGAAATCCTCGAATTGCTTTGTTCCAGCTGACCACCTGCAAAGTAGAAAGTGTCGGTCAAGATTTATTGACGGTTCATGCCAAACCTCCTTACTATGATTCTCTTTTTCCCTCATATCAAGTATGCCAGTAATTCATAACATTACCAATTCACAAGGGAGGACTATGAAAAAGGAAACGAAAAAAAGACGGGAGGCCAGACTGAACGATGGTTGGCGGCGCGTCCCGGCATCGGATCTCACCTCATATCATGGGTTGTGGAGTAGAAGTCTTTCTATATTGAAGAGATATGTATCGTACACAGAATCAGCGCCAATATCTTCATCGAAGCGAAGTACGAAAAGAAAAGTAAGTGAACAGCAACCGTAACTCCCAGCACAGCCATGTAGATATGCACAAAATGACTGCCACATACACACCCCGCCATGTAGGCTCCTAGGAATTTAAAAGCAATGTTTCCACTTTCCCATCCCATGCCATCTCAGTCCCCAATTCTGTACAGATAGACCCAGCCAAGCTAGTATATGTACGTGTAAAACCCCGCGAGATCGCTATGCACAGCTAGAAACCAGAAGAAAAAAAAGTATACCACAACGAGAGAGGACACCTCCCAGAAAGAATGAAAAGCCGAGAGAAAGGAGGATTAAGCGGACCGAATCGCTTCGATAGCCGCATTAAGGGGGAACACCTGGGGGAGACGTTGCGAAGGATAGCCCGGGATCCACTTCCGGAACGCAGTGCTGCAAGACTCTGGAACTCCTCCAAGAGCGACGAAACTCTTCGGAATGAAGGGTCGGTCTTGAAGTGATGCAGTGAGAATTCCATATTCGTGCGCGAGGACTACAGCAGATGCGAACTCGGCGGGCCGGTTGGAAGCTTGGTCGCCCACGATCCTAATCAGGGAAAAGAATGTTAGCAGTTGGTCGGCAAGCACCAAAAAGAAGGGACACATACACGTAGATCTCGAAAAAGGTGTCAAGAACATAGACACCCTTAGCAGTAATGTCCCTGAGGCAGAAAGGCTCGATTTCCTGGACAGTGTCATTGGGCCGGATAACCGGAGAAGGCGAGCCTGAGCGACGCAGCCAGAACCCTGAACGCTGGCCGAGCTCGTGGTCGATACGGAAAAGCCGCGAGCGATATCGCTCGTGGTTGGGTTTTACACGCCAGTAGTCGGTGCTGGTATCGCCTGTATCTCGCTCCCAATGGGGAAAGACTTCGAAGAAGCTCTCTGGTTCCTCACCCTCAGCCACTTCCTCAAACTCGCCGGTTAGCCCAAGGTCCATGCCAATCAGGCGCGCAGCACCAATCTCTTCGGCGGAGCTGCCCTTGCCCTTCCAGAGGAAGAGCTTGCCAAACATCGCAGAGATCACAAAGGGGTAGCCGGAGCTTAGATTGCTGGGCGAGAAGCTGACTTCATCGAACACCATCTGACCCAGATGCCTGCGCCCGCAGAGCATGAAGATGGCGGAGGAGCTGGAGCGAGAACTCAAACCGCGACGAGTAATGAGAATGCCCCCAAGAGCTTGAATGAACCGAGCGGGTTCCTTGCCTTGCTTGATGATCTCCAGCTTGGACCCATTATCCTTGGCGACTTTACGAGAGAAAGCCTGGGCATCATCGACTGCCGAGTCGGGGACATCATCACCACACCAGAGGTGCACTTCGGAGCGTACAGTGCCATCGGCCTCGAAAAGATGTACGCACAGGTACATGCTTCCTTCATACAGGATATATTCCTGATTAACAGGAAGATCCTGCTTCTTCCCATCTCCCGTAATCTCCCACAACTGTCTCTTCAGAGTCCTGATCTTGGCATTGTCACTCTTATCAGCCAGCATCAGCTGCGTATCAATGTTGACACGGTCGCTAGATTTTGGGAAGGTCTTGAAGAAATCAGAGATAGCTTCCCATGATTCATCGGCCTGAGGTACAAGAGATGTTGAAGATCTCGAGGAGAAGCGGTCAACAGAGGCCCTGGACCCCTTAGGAGGAACAGGGGGAGAAGGCAAGGCTTTATCCCGTGGCGACGAGTTGCGTGAGCCTATGGTGGAAAAAAGCGAGGACGCGGACCTCTGCTGTGCTGGATGAGTATAACTCTGGTTATCCCTGAAGCTTCCCCTCAAAGGCGAAGGAGAAGGTGATGAGAAGTGAGTCGGCGAGCCCCGTGTCTGGTTAGAGACAGGTGTTGCTGGCAGTGGAGCTGTTTTGGGTGGCAGAGGAGGCTTCGCCGAGAGTGAGCTTCGTATGCTCTTAAAGTATGCGCTGGCGTTCTCTCGAATATTGGTAGCAGTCTGATCTAACACCGTTGAAGGTTTAGGGCTCGCGTCGTCGGGCTTCTGCGGTGTCTCTCTCTCTATTAAACGAGGGATGCTCCTCTTGAATTCAGTTGGCTTGCTTGTTGCTGGCGTGTCATATTGGCTCGGGCTCTCTTGCGGTTCGTCATGGGATTTGACTTCAGTATTAGGAAGGGGCCAGCCGCTGGAGACTCCCGCAGGACTGCCAATGGGTGAGATGTGTGCTTCTGACCTCTGTGCATCCAAAGTAGATGCTGGAGATTTCGGGATCGCCTCATTTACTTCTGACGTAGCATTTGGAAGCTCGAACTCTGCATCCAATGATGGAGACTTCACAGTACCAATATTGTCGACCGAGGTTAGACGCGCAGGTGCTGGCTCGTGTGCATCCGAAAGCTCTGATGGAGAATTCGGTACTGCATCACCTGCCTCAGGAGCTGGACTCTTGGTTTTCGGTTCTTCCGCTTTGGGCGCAGAGGGACTCAGAACACCATTCTTCTCTCCTGGGTCAGAAAACATGGGCTCGGGAACGTGCGCATTCAAAGAGGCAGATGGGTGCTCATCCACCTCAAATATTGACGATGAAGGCCTTTTCTCGTCCTCGCTGGCCGGCATCTCCCGTGCCTCAGAAGTCTCGTAGTGAACCGGGCTTGTAGCTTCAGTTTCCTCAATATCCATATGGACCGGTGGCGGTGGTACATAAGTTTTCCTTTCCAAGATCGGGCTTGTGGCTTCAAGTGTTGTCTCTTCCGCCTGTTCTGACAGTCCTGGGGCGTTAGAGCTCTCGAGAGCTAGGTTTGTAGTCTCAAATTTCTCGCCATCCGCAGAAGCTAAAGGCTCGGGCTTAGGGATGCTCCCTTCTCGGACTGGGATCACAGGCTTGGCCTCTTCATCTTCCAAAAGAGTCGAGAGATCTGGCGCCCCATTGGCTTTTTCTTGGATCGGGCTCGTAGGACCAGGAGCAGTCATACCCGCAGGTGCACTGAGCACCGGTGCAACGTGAGCTTCATTCTGGACTGGGCCCACAAGTTCTGGTTCATCTTTACCAGAAAGCGCCGAGGCAACCGGTGCACCGTTGATATCCTCCAGGATTGGGCTTGCAGGTTCAGGTGCCTTCCTACTCATAAGTGCTGGGGGCACTAATACATCATCGGACTCCTCGTGGATTGGGAAGGCAGGGGTGGCTTCTTCCTTAACCAGGGGCTCCGAGAGCTTTGGCGCAACACTGATTTCGTGGATCGGGCTCACGGGTTCAGGTGCATCGTGGACTTCTTTTTGGAGTGGGGTCGTAGGCTCAGAAAGGTCTTTCTCAACGGATGTTGAAACCACCGGTACATCGTTTGTTTCCTCTTGGATTGGAGTCGCGGGCTCAGGTTCATTCTTATCCACCGGTGCATCGTGGACTACTTCCCGGAATGGGCTTGCAGGCTCAAGTTCGTCTTTATCAATAGGCGCTGAGACCACCGGTATATCGTTTATTTCCACTCGGATAGGGCTTGCGGGCTCAGTTTCATTTTTATCCGTTGGTGCTGAGGGCACTAGAGCATCGTGGACTTCTGTCCCGAGTGGGCTCGCGGGCTCAAATTCATCCTTATCCATAGGCGCTGAAACCACGGGTGCATCGTTCACCTCCTCTTTGGCTGGGCTAGTAGGTTCAGGTCCCTCAATCATGGGTGCTGAGAGCACTGGCGCATCGTGGACTTCTTCCTGGAATTGGCTCATAGGCTCGAATTCGTCGTTGTGAATAGGCGCTGAAACCTCGGTTGCATAGTTCATTCCTTCTTTGACTGGGCTAGCTGGTTCGGGTTCCTCAATCATGGGTGCCGACGGCTCTGGGGTATTAGTATTCTCCTTATGCAGTGGGCTCAGGGGCTCATGCTCTGGCTGTCCCACAGTTCCCGGAAGCTCTGGTGCATGCGTGATAGCCTCCTGGACTGGACTCGCAGGTTCGGGGTTCTTTTCTTCCATGTATGTCAATGGCTCTAGAGCATCTGCCGTCTTCGTGTACAATGGCATGTCTTCGGCTTCTTCTACATCCACATGTGCTGGCATATCCGGAGCATCACTTTCCTCCTCCGTCTCCGAGTACATCGATTCTGGTCTCTGTGCATCCAAAGGTGTTGGCGGAGACTCTGGTACATGATTGCTTTCATCAAAGAGTGAGTTCGTACCTTCCGGTGTAGTACCCTGGGGCAGGCGTCTCTTTGGCCCTCTAGCTCGACCCTTGGTCAAATGAGTGAGTGCGGCAGCTTGAGAACTTTCCACTCTCGAGCTGCTTTCCCCAGCACTGTTGAAAGAAGGACCTTTCATCGACCTGTTAATCGGTGCGGGCGGGCCACGGGACAAAAGGCCCGCTAAGGCAGGATTTAATCGGCCTGCGAGTTTACTTTTAGCAGCAGGACCCTCAGTCTCAGCAGGTGCACTTGTAGCCTGCATCAAATCCCCCGGTGGCAGAGAACGCACCGGATTGATGCCCTCCTCCTTTACCTCTTCGGCGTTCACCTCTGCCCCGTCCGTCTTCTCCTGTTCGCATCCTCTCTCTTTTTCCGGCAGTTTCGGTTCAGCCGCCTCCTCGGCATTATCATCAGCGCCGGGCTTGGGTGGTTCTGGGGCGATTGGCGAATCCTGAAACTTTTCAAGAGACTCGCCGCCGGCAGGGGACAGTGGCGATGCAACCTGGAAGCCATGCGTGCTTCTTGGTGTGCCCGGCTCTCTAGGCGAGAGCGGCGAAAGCGGCGACGAAGAATCGGCTGCTGAAAGATTGCTTTTGATACTGCTGGACTTGGTCAAATTGTTCCGCATTGCAATCGCTTCAGGTACAAATTTGCCGGGAGCATCCTTCTCCCCCGCAGTATTACGTCTCAGCGAACCCCCACTGGCTTTGATTGCTTCTTTCTGCTTCAAAATGCTGTCTTTCAATTCATCCACTTTCTGCGACTTTTTTGGTCCGCCCGAGGAGTTCAGAGCTGCCTTGCCTTTGAGAATATTCTCTTTCAACTCGTCCGGCGGCACGTGCTTCGAGGACTCTGCTTTCTTCAGCCTTCCGAAGACATTCTTGAATTCTGGTTCCTCCCTGGGTGACTCATCCTTGACCACTTCCCTCCGTCGAAGGTTGGCTCTGAAATCTATTACAGGAGACAGAGGCTTGGGCCTATTCAACAGCGGATCACGAGGGGATGCCAGGGGCGCATCGATAGTGGTCTTGGTTATCGGGCTCAGATTAGACGGTGTACGCTTGTGTTTCGTAGCTTCATCTTCTGTTTTCTCCGGTTCCGCCTCTGTTTTGGTAGGCGACTCCTCTTTCGAAGGAGAGGTCTCTTCGGTCTTCTCTGCAGGTGGTAAATAGCTATCCTGAGTATCCGCGCTTTGTGTGGTGGTTTCGGGTTCTGCTTCTTTCGTCTTCCCTGAATCGTGATTGGAAAATATGTCGGGGATGCCGGTGATACTGGAGGTCTTTGAGTGACCACCAGGAGCAGTAGTCCGCATAAGACCCACGGGTGTGACCTCCTTGAAGCTTGCGGTTCGACCCAAGTCAACGCTACCTTTTGATTGCCGGTCTTTGACCCAGGAAGCCTGTTGGGAGGGCTGTCGCTTATGCCTGGGTGATTCGTCGCGGTTCAAAGCACTTTCGAGCCAGGAAGCTTTGGTTGGGCTCCATCTCTTGGGGTCCATAGTTCTCGAAACTGACGGGCTTGATGGTGGTAACGAGCTGGAGTCCGTGCTTTTCTCAACGGAGCTAGTAGACCGTGTGTGCAGGCTGAGTGAGGGTCTACGGTCCCCTTCATCTAGCCGCGCACCATTGCTGCCAGGAACGGGAGGTGTAGCCGGTCGTTCGCCATCTTTGACCGGATGGACGACAGTCGCTTCGCTATGGCTAGACCCAGGTCTGTGGCTAGAACCGGGTCTATGGCTGGAACCGGGTCTATGGCTAGAGGTTGGCCGCGAGGGCGAGAGACTTGGGCCGTCTCTGCTCATTCTATATGAAGGCGCAGTGGAGAAAACATCATTGCCGGAAGGAGCAGCGAAGCTATTGCGGTTGCTAGAAACCGAATTGCCTCGACTAAGCCCCGACGGCAGCTGAGCGCTCCAGCGTTTTGACACGCTGTCTGATCGCTTCATCATAGCGCTTTGCACAAATCCACCGAGCCCCTTGGTAGGAGATGTAGAACGCTCGGGAGACAAACGCCTAGGCGAGGGGGGTGATGTGATTTGGTCATCTGCGCCGTCCTCCGTCTTTCGCGGCTCGAGTTTCTGTGCGCTCGTCAAAGGCAAAGGAGAGCCAAGCCCAGTGGCCGTCGACACAGAAGATATGCTCGAATACCGATTGCCCAAACTACTTTCTGCAAACGTTGAACTTGCTCTTGACGGGGACCGTGATCGCTCTTCTACGATCTCGTGATTTTCTGCTTCCTTCGCCGACTCTGTAGTGTGCTCTTGATTTGCTTCCAACTCCTTGGCGCCAGTATCAGGGTGCAGAGGGTGCAGTGAGTCCTCCTCTACCTGCTTTGCGCGGGTCGGAGAAGGGCTCCCTCCCTCTGTGTGGCGAGACCACGGTACGTCTTTGAACGAGGGGGAGGACGCGAATGGGCTCCTAGATACCCCATGATCGTCATTAGACGTTGTGGACATGGCTCTGAAACGGCTCTCACGGGAGGGCGACGCGGAGAAGAAAGCCCTGTTGCTATCCCGAGACGTAGGCCTTTGTTGCCAGGAGAGAGTGCCGGCTCTGCTCCGGAAAGGTGAGATAGGTCTGGAAGCAGTTTCCCCATCGTTTGCCGTCAAAGTAGACCCCCTCCGACCATTGTCTGTAGATATCGATGCGTCATCTCGAACCGAATCAGCCCCGTTGCCAGTGTCATGCCCGGGCGTATGAGGGGTAGGTTCGAGGTGTTCTGGAGGGTCAATCGCTCGCTGGCTGAAAGAAGACATGCTCAACCGAGCGGGATCTAATATTGGTGAATCTTTCGTGGGGGAAATCGACCGTGCCCGCTCTGTATTGGATCCCAAGAAAACGGACACAGTCAGCATTCCTGAAGATGACAGATTTGGAAAAGGACCAGCCAACCGCCAGCCAACCGTGAGTCCTGGCGACTGGAAATTCACTTTAAAAGGGGGTCCGCCGGGGAATAAAAAAAAGCAAGGGAAATCAAATACCAGCTCTCCTAGCCTGCCTTTCCTTCCGACCCTGCAGAATTTCCTCCTCCAACTTCTTTGTGCGTTCCTCGTCCTCTTTATCGCGCTTCTCTCCTAATTCGCGGATGCGCAAAAGGAAGTCGTTGACATCCTCAGTGCCATCCGCGTCGGTTGTGGACGACATGGCCAGCTTGGCACTTTCTCAAGGAGCCCAAAAATTGGGTAAAGAAGGGAAAAAAAGAGGGAACAAAGCAGAAATGGCAAGTCAGAAAAAGTAATGATGCCCTTTCAAACCGAATAAACACCGACAAAAATCCCCCAGGAACGGTGGGGTGTGGCAAGAGGCACCAGACTGAAGAGGGGAGGGGGGGGGGGAAGGGGAAGAGAGGGGGAATGATTTGGTTGCTTGTGAACCAGAGATGTTGAAGTAATCAGGAAGAGTGGAGGGAGTGTCACGGTTAGCGGTGGTGGTGGTGATTGAGCGACACTCTGGCTCTTGCCCGCTTGAGAGACTTTTGTGACTGATTTGTGCCGGGTCTGAGCCTCAGGAAGGGATAATCGTGTGCCTCCAGCTCATGTCGTTGCTGTTGCTGTTGCTGTTGTTGTCGTTGTCGGGTTTACTCCACCTTTCACCCTGGGCGATCCAGTGTGAAGGAATGGCAGCGAGAGCCGGGCAGCGTCTTTCTCGTTTCTAGTGGTGGATCCGTATCGATGGCCAGCTGAGCGCCGTGAAGGCAAGAATAGTAATGCTCTTCCATCGTCAAATAAAATCCGGCGAAGGCACGCACATCAGCTGCCGCCCCACTGCCGGAAGCCCAGAGGAAATTAGGATGAGGCGCCCGACCGGATTGACACTGCGCATCTCTCTCGCTCTGCGGCTGTGAGCTGATCCCCTTGAGTTTCTCCCACCCGGCACTACTAGGCGAGATCAAACCCAGTCCTGAATGGGTTGATCGTGTCGCAAATCCCGAACAAAGAGGGGTTTCCTCTCTGATTTCCCAAAAGCTTCATCATCCATTGGAGAGGGGATGTTTTGAAGTTTCTCTACAAGGAGAACTGTTTACTTTCCGGGTCCGGCTTTTGCGGTGGAGTCAAACTCAACCTTCTCTGCCGCCCCGCGATCGGATACGCAATCAATTTTTTTTCTGGCTGACGGCCTGCTTTCCAGTTTCCTCCTACTCGGGCAGCATTACGATCCTTGGGAACCTCGGTTGGGTCAAACTCGGCACACAAAGCTTGGTTAACCTGGTGTGGAATCCACGGATGGCCTTGAAGGGAAGGGGGAAGAAGGTGGAGATACGAAGATAACCGGGAGCTTCCCATCAACCACACAGCATTTAGTCGGGTCTGACGACATTAAGTCCCCTTCAACCCGGCGCAGGACTAGTAGTACGTATCGTGAGACACATTGGCGGCAATCCTTGCTGAAACCTCGTGGTTGACGTAAATTACGAAGCGAGGCGCTCCCTAGTGGGAACTGGGAACACCGTTGCCTTTACCATGTTCGACAAGGGCCATCATAGTGTAGTTCGTGGACCCTGAAGGCGATTTGTCTGATCGCCGTTCCGATACCCGACCAGGCACTACTAGTAGCAATTGAGACAGGGGCTCTGCTAGTGGTGCTTTGTAGTAGTCGACAGTCAAAATGAGTGTAGCCAGCATGGATGCTTGTCCCCTGAGGTCCAACTGGTCTTAAGTTGTAGAGAGTAGATCAGAGTTACATGTTTTTCAATGATTACTACTACTAGTATATAGTAAGTATGAATCCATTGCTGACGAGCTGAAATCCACAATTGTAAAATGCACTGTTATTACCTGGTTGATTTTTCCGTGAAGAATATATAAATAGTGCCGAAGAGCTGGTGCAAAATCCATCACCATTGATTTCGTTCCACCAACGAACTTCATCGTAAGATCGCATCATGCCATAAGAGCCAAACAATATGGCATCTGCTATCATTGAAATACCATAAGTACGAAAATATGAATAGAAAAAGGGAAACAAATAGCATATCGTGGTCATTAAAGGGTGTCAAAAGCAAGCCATAGACACTTCCACAGCACTCAATAAAGGAAAAGCCTATCTTTGGCGTCTTGTACAACCCATTCTAGCCCTTCATGCAGGTTCTTTCCTGTCATCGCACTGCAGGGTAATATCGTCCATTTATGTGTTTTGATAGAATCCAAGCCAAGCCGCTGTGGACAAGAACATCAGTCAATATCCGCTGAAAGACATGGCATGAGGAGCCAAAAGCGAGAACCTATAGTTCAAAGTAAGATGAAGGGCAGGGACTTACTTCTCGAACTTCATTCTCATTCATACATCCCTCAACTTCGCTCTTATTCAAGAAAATTAAAAGACTTGCTCCCATTAAACGCTGCGTGACGGTTAGCCCGTGGCTGGCAAAACTCTTCCTGGGCGGGCGCAGCGGTGCCGGCGGGGATGGCAACAAACCTCTTCCAGAAGGAGACCGGCGAGCTCATCTCTACAATCATCCACTCTGAGACGATCGGTCGCATCGACGACCCAAATCAATGTATCAGTCTTCTCAAAGTAGTTTTTCCAATAAGATCTGAGGGTCTTTTGGCCTCCAACGTCCCCTGATGGCAAGTGGTTAGTGGAGTCTGGGCGCTATCACTGGTCGACATCCTTACATATATTGAGTCTATATCTGCATAGAAGTCAGCGAGTGATTCTTGCAGATTATCAAATTCAAATAATAATACCCTTGAAAATCTATTGTCTTGATGATAAAACCCAATGTCGGGCTGACAGTAGTGACATCTTCGTTCATAATCTGCTTAACGATGGTGGTCTTCCCGGCATTGTCCAGACCTCTGTCGCCATGGCTATTAGTGAATCACTTCGTAAATTGTATGTATCACAGGGTAAAACTTACAGCATCAGGATTCGCATCTCCTTATCCTTCAGCCGGGCTTTTCTCAAAATGGATAACATCTTCACTGGTCTCTTAGTGATGTTGCAGTTTGTAGTTGGGGTAATTGAAGGGGAGAGAAAGATTGGACAGACGGGGAGCTCGATATAGATCCCGCTCACTGTCTGGCAAATCTACTACACCTCCTTCACATCACAGTGGGACATCATAGGCCATGTGTCCCATGAACAACCAATAACAACCCTAATGTAGTCCTGCAATTCTCTGCAATAGTATTTCCAGTCCTGACTCTTTCACTTCCTCACTTTCACAACAAGAACAACAAATGTGATTATAGCCCTTACGAAATATCAAGTAATTGGAATAGCAATGTATTTTCTTCACGCAGACATAACAGGCAGCCACTTAATTCCAGCTCTATCAGAATTCACCATATGCGCATAGCGTGACATCAAAGAGGTATCAAGTCGTTAAATAGTGCGCACATCCCATGCTCTCCAGTATGTTCCTGTCCACAGCGGGGCAAAAACCTCCTCATTCTCATGCGTGTTGTCACATAACGACAGAAGCCATATGAGAGATTAGGAAACAGAATATCTTGTTCAATTAGATAGAATTCTGTGATTCAGTCTTTTCAGAGGCCCCTATCAGCAGTGAGTACAATCAATGTCAAGTAGGACCCTCCTTGCCTAACATGAATAACCTTGGGAGAGATGATGTGTGAGTGATACTAACCTACCTCACTGTAGAAATGTCACGAGAGAATAACTATGACTATGACAGCCCAGACTTATGGGCACGTATCAAAGGGACACGTGATAGTGTATCAAGCGCCTCGATTTCCAACAAATACCGGTCTCCTGGATACCGGCCTTCGCCACGACGATGTGCCGAGAATAACAAGACCGCTTCACCTCAGCGCAATTTAGTGAGTCCGAGTCAGGTTAATAAGATGCAAGCAACTGTTGTGAGAGCGACAAATATCAGTACAGTCACCTGTAAGCCGCACAAGGCAATCGCTACGGCGATTCCCAAGTGCTTTAAAGCACCAGAGCCGGTCGTGGCCACCAGCCGATTGCCTTTAAATGAAAGCAAACCCCCCTCACACCCCTCAAGCTCTTCCAAAATCACCGTCAAGTTACCTGTGCCACTGAGTGGATTGCGTGACACTTCTCACATTTCAGTTTCCCGATCTTCACCATCTCCCTACATCCCTCCACACATAAGAAACCATCAGTATCAGAATCCCGACCAGCGCATCCTCCCTAGAAACAAAGGAGGTCTAGGGACTGAGCAGAGAAACCGGCGAGGTACCGCACATACTTTCCACACTCCTCTCATCTCACACGTCTCCAAAGCACCTGAGAGGCCAGGTCAGTTAAGATTCACTCGAAATACTTCGTCTGGCTTGCCGCATAAGCTTGCTCTATCTGGTAAACGATAAATATCGCTCCCTCTGTCTTGCCATGGAATGTGCTGACTGACACCTGAGAAGTTAATAAGGGAAAAATGTCATCCGGCGGTGACTCAGACTACGTCGTCCTGCGCAATCCCAGAGCTGAAACACTGCAGCCCAAGGTGCAGGATGCTTCAGGACAGACTGGACTAGAGGCCGGTGGTGATACCCCTCCTGGAGGCAGTATTCAACAGCCAGCGGGCGAACCTCCCGGGGAGAAGCAGCCTACTACCCGTGCTGAGCTGCGAGCAGAGATTAGAAGATTACAAAAGGAGGAACTTGCCAAGATCTATCAGAATCTATGCAAGGAGGAGGTCGAAACCGCAGATGATGAAGTAGTAGCAAAATGTCGGGACGGCCCAGGGGTGGATCCAAAGTCGGAAGTCTATCAGGAGATCGAGAAAAATCGATGCGTGCGTCCTATGGAAGAAGTCGACTTGAACGTCGAGGCTCTCTCTATGGTCAATGACTCGGATAAGGAACCAGAGGATGACCGCCTCGATAACCTCGAGGAGCTTAAATTCAGCTTCGACAGCCTTCTTAAGGCCCCACAGTGGGACGCATACGAAAAACAGTCTCTCAATTACCCTCAAGTGATTAATAACCAAGTGACCCTCTCACCTGAGCCGTCCGAGGCGCAGGCCACCCTTCGAGCTAAGACCCAGAAGTTCGGAGTTCATCCTTATGCCTCTCGAGGTGCACCTCCCACTTTCCCGCCCAGCGCATATCAGAAATGGCGGAAGTACGACCACTTGTGTGATTGGTGGTGGGCTCCTCCTATGCTTCCCTTTTACGACTCATGGCTTCAAAAGTTCCGTTCTTGGCTCGACGAGACAATTGAGAATGCCTGCTACGCAGATATATACCACAAGGGCTTCTTTGATGGCACTGCCCATCCGGATGGTGTTAGAACCTTTCTCATCCCGAATCTGCCGAAGGCCACCACAATCCTCAATCCAAATGATGAGCTAGGTCATCGACACAGGCACGAGACGGCGGCAGGTCTCAGCTACAACTTGGTCATGCACAAAAAAGTCGATGCAGAGCTCGAAGAGCAAAAACTCGCCTTATCGCGCCGCATGCAACTGGAATGCATGGCCACCATGCCGCCAAACCCCAACACGCCTAGGGCGAACATCTATCTCAGACCTGCACATGTGGGAGACGCCAATCAGCTTCTCCCCATCTACAACTGGTACGCCCAAAACTCCTTCGTGAGCGTTGATATTGGAACCGTGCAGCCAGACGACGTCAGGGAGCGTATCCAAACCGCCAGAGATGCCCGTCTTCCCTTCATTGTTGCCGTGGAGCGCGGTTCTGGCCACCAGAGAGAGACCATCTTCGGCTACGCCACTGCTAAAGACTACACCGGTTGGGAAACCAGTGGTAGATATACCGCAGAATTGGAATTGTTCGTCATCCCAGAGCAGCAGCGCAAAGGCATTGGAAATTGTCTTATGGACAAGATCTTGCAGGTATGTGATGGGAACCACAGAACTAAGGGTGGTTACGATTTCAACCACACTGGTCTCAGTGGCTACGGCTTGGGAGGCCATCGCGAGTTTGCTCGACTGATCTTTAAATTCACCTACATCCCGGAAGAACGTCAGTCAAAGAGCTGGGTCCGAGATTGGTTGGCGAAGAACAACTTCGAGTTGCAGGGACGTTTGTGCGGAGTCCGCGCTAAGAACGAGAGACTGTAAGTGCTTATCCTGCTGCACTATAATGATGATAATGTTAAACATTCAAATTGACTAACAACTATTCTAGTCTCGACGTTGCTTACTTTGTCCACAACAACATCTTCGCTCTCCCATATCGGTAGTTTGATCCGGACTAGCTTGCATGGCGTATCTCGCCCCCAGCCTTGAGAATGATCCATTCTCATGGACAGCGACAACCGAGAAACTCCAAGCAAGGCTTTTTCTCTCTGTCTTTCTTGGCAGGCTTCTGCTACAGCAAGAAGCTGGCTGACTGACTGGGAGACAGTGATGAGACTATTGGACATTGGAGTAGTAGTCCGTTCCTTATTTTCTTTTGCGATCTTTTCCTTTGTTAGTTCTTCAACGCACCAATGATTCCTGCAGGACCTTAATCAACTTTAGTACCGGTCTATGCAGACGGATTCATGTGCTCTAACACCAATCAAATCAACAATAACACCAAAAACAAGTGAAAAGAGCAAAAAAAGGGAAGCCGACGCACCATAAGCGGCGCCGGATGTCAGTTTACAGTGTATCAAATATCTACGAGCATGCAGATAAAAAGCTTCCTTACTCAAGTTGATAAAATTGAAAATTAAAATTGAAACGGAAATTTGACTTCCAACTCAGAAAATGCACCCAATGCATATGTAATTAGTAGAATTATCCCACTATCCAGAAATCTAGGTACATACAGTAAGTAGTAGTAAGTAGTGCTAGAGTGGATCCCATATCGATAAACAACGCAACCAATCACCACCTCCCCGACGACAGTAAGCACAAGATTCTGCCATCGCAAACGCTCTCCACCGCCTTCGAAATTTGAACTTTTTTCTCCATCTTTATCCCGATACCAACATACATAACATACCCATTGAATTGGAACATAGGGAGGAGTGTGTTCTTTCCCGTTTATAAGTCATTAATTTGTTTTGCTACATTTTATTTCACGCAATCCAATTCACAAGAAAGGAAGAAATTTCTCGTTCCTTTCCTTCCCCCCCCACACACGCCAACCATGGCCGGAACGAAAAAGCGCGCGAACGCCGACGACGACTTCGTGCTCACATTGTCGGACGATGAGAATGACACGTTAAATCAGCTCGAAGAGGAGGGCGAGGGCGACGATGGTGCGCTAGCCACGGGATCGAAAACGAAGAAGCGCAAGAGAGATGATGCTGCGGCGGCGCAGCAGGAGAAGGGGAAGAACAAGAAGGTGAAGAAGCAGGAACAACAGCAACAACAGGCACAACAGAAGAAAAAGAAGGGAAAGAATGCACCTGTTCAGGAGGAAGAGGATGAGGAAGAAGAGGAGGAAGAGGATCAGGGTGAAGATGATGGCGCGCTTAATTCGGATTTCGAGTTCGATGTCGGCGGTGCTGCGAATGAGGTTAGGGATTTCGATGGGTGGGAGGTTAATGGTAATGAGGAGGGTAAGGGTGGGGATAAGAAGGCTGTGGATATCGATGATATTATTTCGAGGAGGCAGGCGAAGAAGGAGGCTGAGTTGATTCGCAAGCAGAAGAAGAAGCAGAAGCAAGAGGAGGAGTTTAGTGAATTGGAGGATGATGATGAGGAGGATGGTGGTATGGAGGTCGACTTTGGGGATGATGAGCTGCTTGCGGAGGATGGGTTCGGTATGGGTGTCGACGGGGAGGAGGAGAGCGAGAAGTCCGATGCGGAGGATGAGGAGAAGGAAGAAGGGTCTGATGAGGAGGCTGAGGGCAGTGATGAAGACGAGCAGATGGATGAGGATGATGACGATGCTGCTTCGGATGACGACTCGGTTGCTACTCCTGTCATGCACCCGGATGATATTGCCTCTGATCGGGACTCGGACGAGGAGAGTCAGGTCGACGCCGAGGAAGAGGAGAAGCGCAAGGCTTTCTTCGCGCCCGAGGAGGAAAAGACTTCCGAGTCTGCTATGGCAGATGCGAAGCGGTCGTTCCAGGAATTCA